GAGGCTAAAGGAGGGAGCTGCTTGTCCGACTTATCCGCGTCTTTCTTGGTGCCCTGGGTTCCGGGTATGGCCAGGGCCAGACCCCGGCCCTGCAAAACGAAGGGGGCCCGGGACAAGGAGGATAAGGTTGGTATGTCCTGATGGTTGACTGCGCGACCCGGCATCTGTTGAATCTTCGGCACTGCAAGGATAGGGTTTCTGGTCAGGCTGTCTGGGATCCTTCATCAGCCAGTGACAGTACCTACGCTCTACGAGAATTGGAGACTTTTTTTGTGGGCGTCCTGCTTGCTTGTTTCTGGCTTCCGCCAAAGCACGGCCAGGTACTTGCACACGAAATCGACAGCGTCAGCAGGCTGCTCCTGCTTGACTCAGGGGATGCCTTTCGGAGCTGAATTCCCCACGTACCGTGGTGTTACGAGGATTTGAAAGAAGCCCAGTGACTCAGTGCGGAAGCCACGGAGACAAAGGGAGAGTGGAGACACAAGCCACAGAAAACCTGCCGACCCGTCCAACTTGAAGGAATACAAGCGGAGACACAAGCCACGGCAAACCCGGCAGGCCCATGTTCTGTTCTGTAGTTGTCGGGGGAGCATTGGCCAAGGCCCAAGATCACCCACAATGGCAAGCACGAGGCTCAAGCTCTGAATGCACCAAATGCTTTAGCCAACACAACTTCGCAACACCTGGGGGGGGGGCCCTCCCGGACTGAGATTTCGGCATTACAAACTTCATGTTGGATGGGTGTGCCGGACGTGGCCTTTGTCTCGGCTTTTCTCCCTGTCTCCCTTCATGTTGGATGGGTCTGCCGAGTTTGAGGCGGCCGGTCTCTCCGTGTGTCTCCATTTCATTCATGTTGGTCTGCTGTGTCTTGTTTCCGCTTGTTTCCTTGCTCTCCCTTCATGTTGGATGGGTGTTGCGGATTTCCTGTGGCTTGCGTCTCCGCTTGTTTCCCTTTATCGCCTTCATGTTGGAAGGGGCGTCGCAGAATCCCGCAAAGATTTCGCTGCAGTGCAGCCAGACTGCGCCGAGAGAATTCGGCAGAATTCTCTCGAAGACAACTTTGCCTTCAACCTGGATTTGGGGTTTGTTTAGGGCTTCGTATAGGGTTTGTTTTCTTTGCGTGTGCAAAGCGGAATCACTGTAGAAGTGATCCTGTGCAAGTACCGTCGAGAGTTTGTTTAGGGTTTAGGATTGAGGGTTTGGATAGGGTATTGGGTGTGTTCATTTTGTGTTTTTGTTTAGGGTTTAAGGTTTGCTTTGTGTTTAGGGTTTGTCTAGTGGTTAGGGTTTTGTTTATGGTTTAGTGTTTCGTTGTTTTTTTGCCACCCGCCAAGCAGTCCAGCCGCACCAGTTTTAGGGCTTAGCACTTGCTTAGGATCTAGGGTTTATTTGGGGTTTGGGGTCTGTTTTTTTTGCCACCCGCCTAGCAGACCCCCTCTGGGATCACTCCGCAGGGAACAATCGTGATCTCTCGTATGCGTCCTCAGCAAAAAGGGCCCCGAGGCATCCCCATCACCATCTCCCCACAACAAGACTAGGTTCACAGCACTCACATCAAGGTGGGGGTGCATCCAGGCCGGGTTCTTATTTAGGGGCTAGGGTTTCTTTAGGGTCTGGGTTTGATTAGGGTTGACGGTTTGTTTAGTAAGTTATTCAGGGCTGGTTAAGGGTTTACTTAGGGTTTGTGCAAGTTTTGCTTTAGGGCTTAAGGTTGCTGTCAGGTTTAGGGTTTGTTTCGGGTGCTTGCTGCTTTAGATTTAGTGCTCGTTTAGGGTTTAGGGTTTGTTAGGGTTTTGGGTCCGGCTTGTTTACGATTTAGTAGTTGCTTAGGGTTCGGGGCTTGTTTGGGCCTGCTTAGGGTCAAGATTTCCTTGGGGTACAGGGTTTGTTCAAAGTTTTTGGGTTTGTTTGGAGCTGAAGTTTTGTTTTGGGTTTTAGTGCTTGTTTAGGGTTTAGGGTTTAGGGTTTGCTTTGGGTTTGCTTCGGGTTGGGTGTGCTTTAGAATTTAGAGGTTGTTTAGGGTTTCGTGGCTATGTAGGGTTTCGGTTTTAGGATTTAAGGGGTTGTTCGGGGTTTGGGGTTTGTTTAGGGTTTTGGGATTGTTTGAGGTGTTTAGGGTTTCTTTAGCGTTAAGGGTTTTAGGGTTGGTTTAAGGTTTGTTTAGGATGTAGGGTTTGCGTAGGATTTAGGGTTTGTTTAGGGTTTAGGGTTGGCTTAGGGTTGAGGGTTTGCTTTGGGGTTCTCGTTTGTTCAGGGTTTAGGTGTCTTTAGGGTTTGAATTTGTTTAGGGTTTCGGGTTTGCTCAATTGTTTAGTTTAGGGCTTAGGTTTGTTCGGGGTTTAGGACATTTTAGGGCTTAAGAGGGAGGAGGGTGGGGGAGAATAGACTCCTATCCATTTCCGGTAGGGGCCTGTCGGTCATAGACCCCTATCCGAGAAACACAGGGGTCTATCTCTCCCTGCAGATACCTATCCGTTTCGGGTAGACCTATGAGCGCCATAGGTCCCCATTGCAGGGTTCTATGGGAGTGGTAGGGGTCTATGGATAGGGGTCTATCCGAAAGCCATCGGGGTCTATGCGATCGGGATGGGGGGCTATGGAGGGGGGTCTATGCCTTCCCGGATAGACCCCCTATCCGATACATGTCTAGCTTACTAGTGTTTGTCGGCACTCTTACTCGATAATGTAGGCAGGTGTTGCCAAAGCCTTTCTTTGTAAGGTCAATAAACGAGCCACTATTTTACCTGAGCGGGGTTCCCACATTTTTTGTCGTGCCCAAGCGAACGTGCCACTGTGTCACGTCCATTATTTCTGCCGCATATTACTGTGGATGTGATCATTTAATAAGGCTCTCAGGCTTACTTGCCGCCCTGCCTCCTGCTTTGGTGAGGTCGTCTCTAACCTCAACTTTGTGATCTAAACTGTTTGGGGTCTTCGCTGGTGTAACGTGTAAACGGAACTTTGCAGATGAAACTGTGACTCTCAGAGACCATTGCGGGAGATGATTTGTGGTGCGATCTTCAGGTGAAGACCCAGCACGAAAGCTGCGCAGTTGCTCGCGGATACCTAAGGGATGCAAACTTATTCTAAGAATTTCCTCAGCCCGTCGGCCCAGCCATGCAAAGTTCATGCTGCCGTCATCGTGCTACGCCGCTACAGCTTCTGCTGCGGAAGTTCTGCTCTCCCGGTCCTTCAGCAGCGCCTCAGCGGGGCTAAAGGAGTTTTCCTTTCAAACCTATGCACCATGCTACTTAGCGGCCCATGCGAGATATTTGCTGCCTTTCGTGCTGCTTGGTCATGCGCACCCCTTCCCTTTCGATGACTTGGGAAAACCAACAACGGTTCTTTTTCTCGTCAATGTCGCCTTACGACAGATGTGTCTTTTGGCTTCGCGCTGCGTTTGCTTTCTTGGGGACCGGTCAATTCTATGAAACTCGGACCCTGAGCACCACAAGGCAGGAGTGAGCGCCATACTGTAGCTCTACCTTCCCGGAGGCCGGGAGGGCCCTGTGCACTTGCGACGGGATGCCTTGACAGCTTCTGACAGCTTTTCCTTGGACGGCAGTCTAGAAATCTTGACCAACTGCACGGCAAGTCATGCAAGTCACGTGTCACGAAAATCGCCATTCAAGACGTGGCACTTCGATTCGGTGCCTACCCAAGTACTCCTGCCAAGAACAAGGCCTGGCCTTCAGCCTCCAGCAACGATTCTTTTGCAGGTTGTGCAGCTCGTCATCAGGTATGGCATGTGATTCCTTCCGGCATCAGCGTCCTTGGCCCTGCCCTTCATCTTGGCAGCCCGATCGGTCTTGGACTTGTGGACCTCCTCGGACCGGGTGGACATGCTCACCTGCCCAATTGCAAAACGAGTCACGAGTCCAGGGGTTTCGTTGGGTGCCAGGGAGTGGGGGCCGCTGGACTTACTGCCGGAGCACAAGTCGCCCCTCCCAAGCCTTGAACTTCATGGCCGGGAAATCCGGGTGGGTGCTGGTGGCAAACACGTCGTGGACGGAGGCGCTGTCGGGCTCCGCGGACAGGAGGCAGCCTTCCGGCTCTTCGGCAGAGACACCGCAACAGAAACCTATGTGCCACATGCCGCGTCTACTCGGCTGAGCAGCTGCCAACGTGTTGGTAGACGTCTATGCGAACGTCCTGAGAGCGCAGGTCCGCGAGTCTCATGGGAGAATTGGATTTTGAGATTGCAAGAGCGCGGGTCTGCGAGTCTCATGGGAGAATTGGATTTTGAGATTGCAAAATGACTCTTGGTAAATGCTGACAGGCCCAGTTGCTCGGCGATGATCGATGGCTGGAAAGGTGTACGCCTCGAGTTTGCAGTAGGCCGTGTTGATGCGTTTGAGGCTGCTTCCGCAACAATGTGAGGTGGCATGGTTTGCTGAACTCTTGCCTACAAACAGTACGAAAACACTTCCCCCCCCCCCCCTGGATCGACATCGCCCAGTGGCTCTTTTCGGCTCGTACCTGCCTTGCTTGAGCACTTCGCCCACGCGCACACTCACCTCAGTAACAACATACGGTGCGTCCGACGAGAAGCACGCGTCCAACGCCACAGTCACAGCTGGTGGCAGAATTACATTGAAAAATCGTAAGACTGCATCGGGACGGGGGGCTGATACGAGTACTATTGAATCGTCATACCATTAAAGTTTCATTCAAGCCTCGAGCTTCTTGAAAGAAGGGACATGGCAAACAAGAATGCGCTCGAACTCCCAAGAAGCGAGAATTTCACAGCTTGGAGGTGCTGGAGCACTCCGAATGCTGCAAATTGCACCGTTCGAGGTGTGCGACAGCTGAGCATGTTGCAAATGAGAGTGTTTCTACATGGGGGGAGACTTCATGTTCTCCCGCAGAACCGGCCATAGCTGTACCAAAGTTTCAGACAACTCCAAATGCTGCAAGTGCATCATTTCGGAACCACTTCCTCCTATTTGCAACGACTGGTTAATCCAAACACTGGATGTTGATGCAAATGTGCTGGACAACTAACAAAGCTTGCTTCGTGGAAAAGGGTATGTTTTGGACGCTTATCGCCAAGCCAGCGAATGCGATGATTTATTTGCGGTCCCCCCGCGATGCGAGGCGATAATGAAAACCGTCTACCTCTGGCGCTTACTGGGCCCTCTTTCCCCACCGCCGCCGCCGCCAAAGGCCATGCCGCCCCCAGTCGAGTTGTGTAGTTTACCGCCACGGCATCCACCTTTCCGTCCCCTCCCACCTCCACCTTCCCCTCCCGCCTGTCGTGGATTGGTACGCGCATCATCGTCCCATTTTTTGCCTTTGCCGAAAATGCATTTTTGATGCCTTTTGTCGGGCAGCCCCAAACGACCCCAGAAAGAGTGCGCATCATGAGCATCAGCGGGTCGGGCCGGGTTTCGGAAGCGGCTGGGAGCTTCGAAAACGCAGAAAACGCTGTGACTACCCTGGTTTTCGCGCGGTTAGGACATTTCCGTATTGAGGCCGCCACATGCTGCCTCCTCATGATGCGCGGTTGAGGGGGGGGGGGAGGCGCAAGGGTGCACACCATCGAGGCTTCATTTCTGCTTGGGGATCCTGGCAGCGAGCATCAGCAGCATTAGCTGGAATTTTTTGGGGGGAGAGTGGGGTTGGGCAGCGGCAGTATTCTTCTTTTTCTTCTTCTTCGTCTTTTTGCTTGTCCCCCAAACGACTTTCCGACTTGAGCACAAACAGTCCCCCTCCCCCCTCTGCCCATGGCACCTCATCCTGACACGTGCAGCCAGGAGGCATAGCAGGACTTGGGCAACATGTCAGCATTTGCACTCTCCACTTGAACTTCCATCCTTGGAGCATTCCGTCCAGGAGCCGAGGTTCAGCTAGCTTCGAAGAAGTTACGAACCGAGTTTGTATAACATCATGGCATGCCGTCTCAGGCTCCGGCTTGGAAGCTCCACGGGAATGCTACGGTTTCCCGCTGCAACATGAAACGGCTACCGGATATCGGCGTAGTTGAAGCTCGGTGGGCGGTGGCATTGGTGCCCGGACTGTCCTCGCAGCCATGGCCCTCGTGCTAGGGCTTTGAACGTGCAGACTGGAGCTGGTGCAAACCGGCCCTCAGACGAGGAACGCTGATGTTTTCCTCCAAACCTCGCATCTCTCGAACGGCATCGTCAGAAATTTCCGCGAGAAAGCTCCCTTCGCGGATGTGCGCCTGCTCATCTCCCCCTCCCCTACAGACCTACAACTTCATCAGCTCAAAGGTTGGTGTACAGGACATTACAGAAACATTACAGGACCTTGGGGTCAGCTTGTGATCTTCCCTTGGCTCCAGAGGTTGAACATGGACGGCAAACGATCCCAATGACCACCCACTCATGAGCCATTCGGCAGGTGTGTCGATGATTGCTTCACTTGAGCGCAATGTCCCTCGTAAGGTGGGCAGAATGATGGTCGATAATGACTTCACGCCCTACATCCACTTCTGGACTCAACTGCCGAAACTGGCTGCCAAATCTTTGACCTTTGTCCGTGCGCGATGCCGCCTGATGATACTGTACAGCACGGTGCGGTGCTGAGGCCAAAGATCTAAGCCAACAGCTGACAGGCACGGAAACCAGTTGCCATGTGCTACCACAGCGCCGGGCTGAGGCCGCTAGTGGGCCAAGTTCGTAGCTGTGAGGTGCGTGGACCGACCGGATCAGGAACACTTGCTGCTTGAGTGCTTTTTAAAAATCCATTCGTTCCAAGGAAGGCAGCAACAATGTAACCCCTCGCACTGCCCTGGGCTCCCTTTTGACTCGCGAATCATGCGCACGCCTGCTTCAGCGGCTAAAGTTGCCAGCCATGCGCAAATGGACAAAAGCCGAAATCATATGTCTCCATCTTGTTGTGCTGTTGATGCTTTGCCCAGGTGCGCACTCGCTGGCAAAAGATTTTTCGTACACTGCCACAAGGTCCCTAGGGAAAGGGCTGGTGAGTGTGGACCCAGTGCATCACTGATGCACACCAAGTCTCTCCAGTAGACGAGGAGGCTTTTCAGTATGCTTGAGGTCTTTCAGATTTTGCAAGGTTAATTGCCCTGTGCTGGTACCGACACCCACGCGCTGTGGCTGACCATCTGCCCTGGCTATTCGCCAAGGAGACGCGCCAGATTATTATAGAGACATGAGATTCTGACATGCGCCTCTTGAAAACAAAATGACGGCAATGGAGTTCACAAAGCAGGACTTGCAAACATGGTCGTTGCACCGTCGTTGCACTAGTGCTCTGACAGAATCTCCTAAGAAAGACGCAATCGCCTCTTGGCTGCCCCGGTAGCGCCGAGCCGTGTGCTTGGAGATGCTTCAAGTCACGACATCTTTACTCTGTGGCTCGGGCTCAGGGCGCAAGCCCAAATCGCTGCGCCAGCGCTCCCGGAAGCGTTGGTTTCTTCTACGACTTCGCGCGTTCCTTCCAACTCCGTGAGGGGGTTGTCGTCGGCGGGCTCAGTTATTCCTGACCTCTGGCAGCTGACACGGCTAACCCACAATAATACAGTCAAGCAAGCATCCCAATCAAAGTGGATCCTTATTTCAGGCGTACTGTAGCTCCTCAAAGTCTGCGAAACAGCTACGCCAAGCTGGGGCTCGGATTCACCTCCATCTTGCTTTTCGGTCATCGTGTTAGAGACTCTATGCATATCAGCTGCGTACCATTGTATCGGGTCCACTTGCCCCTCTTGGACTTGTACTGATTGCCCTTCCTTCATTCGATTTCTTTCCGGTAGCTTGAAGCAGGGTGGACCCCCTCGCTCCACGCAAGTTGCACAACCCAGCGCTGCAGCTTGCACATGCGTTTTTGACTGTTTTGTCGCCTAGCCACAACATCGATCAGCTAGAGCTCCTCCGCCGTTGTATTCCCGTTGGACTCGCCCTTAACCTGACGCACGGCCTTGGCCATCAGCACAGATCGTCGGGACTGGCTAGGGAAGCTTTGGAAAAGCCTTGACAATCTGGAATATGCGAAGCGAGACCAGGCCTCCTCGAGGTCGCCATTCTCTGCTGCCTTACAAGGCTGCTTGCTGCAGGCCCATTGGGTTTTTTTACAGATGCCGCTGCTCTCAAACTGTTCTCTTGAGCTAACGCTGAACAAACTCCTAAATTCATGCGGGAAGTTACTCTTGAGCTAACGCTGAAACACTCCTGAATTCATGCGGGCGGTTACCGGCACCTGAATGCCCTTCAGCGCTCTGCAAAAACATGCTGTAACATCTTCACGTTTTGCGACAGGGGCCCGGCACTCATCAACAGGTGCGCTGTCTTCAGCTTCACTTTGGCCGCTGCTTTGGCTGCTTCCGCCTGAGAAACGTGCCCCAACACGTGCCGCTCCCTCAACTCGTTCGTAGCATATGCCACATGCCAAGCTGCGCAAGTGCCGCAGCGCAGCAGCATTACTGTTCCTTACTGGCGTCTCCCAACAACGTGCCTCTCCGGGGTCGGTCTTGGCATCCTTCAGGGCCGACTCGAGCTGGCCATTGTCAGCGGCCTCGACCTCGCAGCCACGGCGATTTCGTACCCTTTTTTGCGGTTCCCTGCCCTTCACATCCGGTCAAAGTCAGCCAGGCGGCCAGAAGCTGGCAAACCTGTGACCGGACAGCCGGCAAATCGTTGCGCGGGTCCTGTCGCACTTTGATAGACGGATCATGGCGCGGCGCGGAGGTCTCCAAATGCAGATTTCAACGGTTTTCGCCCTCCTCCCGGGCATCGGCTTCCACGGGAGCGGTCCTACCAACAGCCGAGCTCGAGCATTCCGCCATGCTTCGGCAGTCCAGATGCATGTTTTCTGCTACGGTTTCAACTGAAACTTCGCAACGTTTTCTGCCCGCTGTCCCATCGATGCTGACGAACGATTCTTCGCCGGGCTTCTCTGGCTCCTGCCCATGACAACCAGCATGCGTCAAACCTCGGCACGGAGGCAGCTGTTGCCTTGCATGTCGCAGAGGCCTTGGGGTTGAAGAGGCTCAAAGCTTACAGCCAGTCAAGCTCGTTGCACGCTAGCCTACTACATTTTTGTTGCCACCATGGCTGTCGGCTATCTTCAAAAGCACCTCTTGCTGTCACATTCACACGATTTCACAGGCACCCTGGTCATGAGCTCCTGCGTTGGGTTCCCGTTGGGCTCGGCCTTAACTTGACGCACGGCCTTGGCCATCAGCACAGTTCGTCGGGACTGAACTGGCTAGGGAAGCTTTGGGAAACCATGGAAAAGCCTTAATCTGGAATGCGCAGCAAGACCAAGCCTCCTCGAGGTCGCCATTCTCTGCTGCCTTACAAGGCTGCTTGCTGCAGGCCCATTGGGTTTTTTACAGTGAGCAGGGATGCCGCTGCTCTCAAACTGTTCTCTTCTTATGCTAGCGCTGAACATCCTGACACTTGAAGGCCCCGCAGCGCTCTACAAAAACATGCTGCAACATTGTCACATTTTGCGAAAGGAAAGGGGCCCGGCACTCATCAACAGGTGCGCTGTCTTCAGCCGCACTTTGGCGGCTGCTTCCGCCTGCGAAACGTGCCCCGACAAGTGCCGCTCCCGCAAGTCATTCGTAACACATCACTTGCCCAGTTGACAAGCGCAGCACTGCCGCCCTATCGCAGAACGAGTGCCACATTCACATTGACACACATTGACACACATTGACACACATTGACACACACTGACACACACTGACACACACTGACACACACTGACACACACTGACACACACACACACACACACACACACACACACACGCCCTGGCCATGACCTCCTCCACTGTTGGATTCTTGTCGGGCTCGGCCTTAACTTGACGCACGGCCTTGGCCATCAGCACAGTTCGTCGGGACTGGCTAGGGCCCAGGGAAGCTTTGGAAAACCTTGACAAGTCTGGAACATCTGGAATTCGCAGCAAGACCAGGCCTCCTCGAGGTCGCCATTCTCTGCTGCCTAACAAGGCTGCTTACTGCAGGCCCTTTTGAGTTGTTGAAGTGATCATGAAAACCGCTCCTCTTAAACAAAGCTCCTAAACCTAACCCTGCATAGCGGTTTGCGACAGAATGGGGGGCCCGACACTCATCAACAGGTGCGCTGTCTTCAGCTTCACTTTGGCCGCTTTGGCCGCTTCTTTGGCTGCTTCCGCCTGAGAAACGTGGCCCAACACGTGCCGCTCCGTGCACCCATGTGCCGCTCCCTCAACTCGTTCGTAACGTATTATCACTCGCCACGTGCCCAGCTAACATCTAAAGGTAAAGGGTAGTTACATGGTCTCTTAATACGGGCCTTTCAATAGGGACCCCTTCTATACCCCTCATCTACCCTATAAAACCCAAGGGCCCATACTTCAGAACCTTTTCAAGAAGGTAAGAGACCATACTACGACAAGTGCAGCCGCACTGCCGCACTATTGTTGCACTACTGTCGCATTCGCACACACACGCCCTGGCCGTGACCTCCTCCACTGTTGGATTCTTGTCGGGCTCGGCCTTAACTTGACGCACGGCCTTGGCCATCAGCACAGTTCGTAGGGACCAGGGACGCTTTGGGAAACCTTGGAAACGCCTTGACAATCTGGAATGCGCAGCAGGCCAAGCCTCCTCGAGGTCGCCATTCTCTGCTGCCTTACAAGGCTGCTTGCTGCAGGCCCATTGGGATTTTGGAGTGAGCAGGAAGACCTTCTGCTCTCATACTGTTCTCTTGAGCTACGAGTAACGCTGAAAACAACTCCTAAATTCATGGGGGCGGTTACTCTTGAGCTAACGCTGAAACACTCCTGAAATCATGCGGGCAGTTACCGGCACCTGAATGCCCTGCAGCGCTCTGCAAAAAAACATGTTGCAAAATCCTGACGTTTTGCGACAAGAAAGGGGCCCGGCACTCATCAACAGGTGCGCTGTCTTCAGCTTCGCTTTGGCCGCTGCTTTGGCTGCTTCCGCCTGAGAAACGTGCCCCAACACGTGCCGCTCCCGCAAGTCATTCGTAACACATCACTTGCCCAGTTGACAAGCGCAGCACTGCCGCCCTATCGCAGAACGAGTGCCGCATTCACATTGACACACACACACACACACACGCCCTGGCCATGACCTCCTCCACTGTTGGATTCTTGTCGGGCTCGGCCTTAACTTGACGCACGGCCTTGGCCATCAGCACAGTTCGTCGGGACTGGCTAGGGCCCAGGGAAGCTTTGGAAAACCTTGACAAGTCTGGAACATCTGGAATTCGCAGCAAGATCAGGCCTCCTCGAGGTCGCCATTCTCTGCTGCCTAACAAGGCTGCTTACTGCAGGCCCTTTGAGTTGTTGAAGTGATCATGAAAACCGCTCCTCTTAAACAAAGCTCCTAAACCTAACCCTGCATAGCGGTTTGCGACAGAATGGGGGGCCCGACACTCATCAACAGGTGCGCTGTCTTCAGCTTCACTTTGGCCGCTTGGGCCGCTTCTTTGGCTGCTTCCGCCTGAGAAACGTGGCCCAACACGTGCCGCTCCGTGCACCCATGTGCCGCTCCCTCAACTCGTTCGTAACATATTATCACTCGCCACGTGCCCAGCTAACATCTAAAGGTAAAGGGTAGTTACATGGTCTCTTAATACGGGCCTTTCAATAGGGACCCCTTCTATACCCCTCATCTACCCTATAAAACCCAAGGGCCCATACTTCAGAACCTTTTCAAGAAGGTAAGAGACCATACTACGACAAGTGCAGCAGCACTGCCGCACTATCGTTGCACTACTGTCGCATTCGCACACACACGCCCTGGCCGTGACCTCCTCCACTGTTGGATTTTTGTCGGGCTCGGCCTTAACTTGACGCACGGCCTTGGCCATCAGCACAGTTCGTAGGGACCAGGGACGCTTTGGGAAACCTTGGAAACGCCTTGACAATCTGGAATGCGCAGCAGGCCAAGCCTCCTCGAGGTCGCCATTCTCTGCTGCCTTACAAGGCTGCTTGCTGCAGGCCCATTGGGATTTTGGAGTGAGCAGGAAGACCTTCTGCTCTCATACTGTTCTCTTGAGCTACGAGTAACGCTGAAAACAACTCCTAAATTCATGGGGGCGGTTACTCTTGAGCTAACGCTGAAACACTCCTGAAATCATGCGGGCAGTTACCGGCACCTGAATGCCCTGCAGCGCTCTGCAAAAAAACATGTTGCAAAATCCTGACGTTTTGCGACAAGAAAGGGGCCCGGCACTCATCAACAGGTGCGCTGTCTTCAGCTTCGCTTTGGCCGCTGCTTTGGCTGCTTCCGCCTGAGAAACGTGCCCCAACACGTGCCGCTCCCTCAACTCGTTCGTAGCATATGCCACATGCCAAGCTGCGCAAGTGCCGCAGCGCAGCAGCATTACTGTTCCTTACTGGCGTCTCCCAACAACGTGCCTCTCCGGGGTCGGTCTTGGCATCCTTCAGGGCCGACTCGAGCTGGCCATTGTCAGCGGCCTCGACCTCGCAGCCACGGCGATTTCGTGTCGCTTCTTTGCGGTTCCCTTCCCTTCACATCCGGTCAAAGTCAGCCGGGCGGCCAGAAGCTGGCAAACCTGTGACCGGACAGCCGGCAAATCGTTGCGCGGGTCCTGTCGCAATGGCACGGAGCCTTGCAAACTGTCTGATCTCTGCGTTTTCCTTGAATATCCCCTAGCCATTGCAGGCGCGAGGGAAATTTCCACGCTGAGCCCACTCCTCTCTGGCATCAGCTTCCACAGGAGCGGTCCTGCGAAACGCCAAATTCCAGCAATTCCGCCATGCTTCGGCGGTCTGAGATGTGTGCTTGCTGCGACGGTTTCAACTGAACCGAACTTCGCAACGTTTTCTGCCCGCTGTCCCGTCAATGCTGACGAAAGACTCTTCGCCGGGCTTCTCTGGCTCCTGCCAATGACAACCCACACGTGACAAACTATCCTCGACGCAAAGGCAGCTGTGCCTTCAGGTCGTCCCAAACTAGACAGTGACATGCATTCACAAGCTCAATCTGCACGGCATGCGCTGTCCTTGTCTTTCTGTAGCGGCCGAGAGCTAGCTTTGGTGCTACCTGGGGACTTCTACATACTTCCACTGCTTGCCATGTCAACTCGCTCTTCTCAACTTCTGCCCCCAAGGAGCTGGAGGCTAAAGGAGGGAGCTGCTTGTCCGACTTTTCCACATTCTTGGTGCCCTCAGTTGCGGGAGACCCCGCGGGAGGACAAAGGGGTTCAAGGTTGGTATGTTCTGCAGTAGGAGGGGTTCTAAGGTCTGTCGGGTTTCAGACCTGACGACGGATATGGTTGGGTTAGGCTGCTTTTGTCACCACTCGCATAGCCCAGCTTGAGAGTGAAATTGGGCATAGCACTGAGGCACCTCAATTATCCTCAATTCAAGCCACTCCGAGCCACTCCTCTCCAAGCCCCAGTGCAGAGGGCTCTCTCGTTCGGACACGTAACGTTTTGCTAATGAAGTCATGGACCTCTGATGGCAGCGGCCTTAAACGCCTAGTCAACGTGGGGGGCCCTTGGCTTTTCAGCTTCCTGACTCCTTGGCTTTCAGCCGCCTCGTTAGCTTCCCGGTTCCTTCGCTTTTTGGGCTGTCCGGCTTATCAGCGAGCTGGCCGCTGTGAATGCGCAGCGTGGTGCTGTTCTTAAAGTTACAAGTCATCGAGACCATGGTCGTTGTTGCATTTTTTTCGGTGAGAATTGCCGATGTGGTTGTTGTTACTGTTGATGTTCTTATTCAAAAGCCCAATCGCAAAAAACAACGACGGCCCCTTTGCGGGCCGAAGCACCATCAGGTATTTGCAAACGAAATCGACAGCATCGCCATCGGGCCGCTCCTGCTGCACTCAGGGCTGCTCTAGTCAGGGGATCTCAAACGGAAAACTATCGTCAGCAACCTTTCGGAGCACATCCTTGAGGGCCTGACCTGGGATCTTGAGGTCCTTTTTTGTTCAGGAAAACTACCAAGCAAGTCTGAGGCTAGCATACTACATCCGAATGAGATCCTAAACCAGAAGCCAATGTAATGCATCATGTGCTGACAATCAACTAGGAACCCTGAGCCAAGACCTCAGTGCATCGTGCGCAGTTGTGCTGAGATGTGATCCCTGTCCTTCAGCAGCGCCTCACAAACAACCAAACTGTCTCAGGGAGGGGATTGCCTTTCGAACTCGACAACTTAATTTTCGCTGCTTTGCCTGTCTCCTTGCCATTCGTGCTATTTGGTCATGCACGTCACAGCTTCCTGTTCGATGGCTTGGGGCGGGCCGAAACTGACAACTTTCTCTCTGCTATCTTGGACCAGTCCTTGCTGGCGGGTTGAAGTGTCAGATTCGGGCACGTGCATGAACGTATGCCAGTAATGAGATCTCTACTTTTCGGAAGAGCCCCGTGCCCTTGCGACGGGATGCCTTGACAGCTTCTGACAGCTTCTCCTTGGACGGCAGTGCGGCTATAGCCCTTCGCTCACAACATGCAACGTGCGACAGAACCTGCAATGTTGGCTGAAATCCGGGACCAGGGGGCTTCGATTCGATGCACGGCCAAGTACTCCTGCGAAGGCACAGCCTCAACACCTGGGACCTAGAGTGGCAATTTCTTTTGCTTTCTGCAACAGCGTCCTTGGCTCTACCCTTCATCTTGGATATCTTCTCAGCCCGATCGGTCTTGGACTTCTGGATATCCTCGGACCGGGTGGACATGCTCACCTGCCAAAGGGTCAGGTCAGGGGTGGATTTGACTTCATTGCAAGTCCTAGCACCAGATCGCAGGTGGGTGCAAAGCAGGAATGGGGGCCGCTGGACGTACTGCCGGCTGGAGCCTGTCTCATGTCGGAGAGACCTGCTCAAGCACAAGTCGCCCCTCCCAAGCCTTGAACTTCATGGCCGGGAAATCCGGGTGGGTGCTGGTGGCAAACACGTCGTGGACGGAGGCGCTGTCGGGCTCCGCGGACAGGAGGCAGCCTTTCCGGCTGTTCGGCAGAGACACCGCAACAGAAACCTATGTGCCACATGCCCCCTCTACTCTCCGCTGAGCAGCTGCCAACGTGTTGGTAGACGTCTATGCGAACGTCCTGAGAGCGCGGGTCCGCGAGTCTCGAATTCATCAATGAATCACAGGGCAGGCTTCGGCATCATGTCACACCCGAGACGAGCCAAAAAAGCCCAAACAGCCACCCGAGCGGAAACGAAGCAACAACAAATGAAATGCACAAAAACAACCCCATGACAACCTCTGGGAGCTGAAAGGCCCAGTCACTCGGCGACGATCGATGGCTGAGAAGGTGTAGGCCTCGAGTTTTTGGGATGGCTGCGTTGGTGCGTCTGCTACTTCTGGTTGTCTCCACATGAGAGACAAAAATGGCCCAGTGGCTCTTTGAGGCTCGTATCTGCCTTGCTTGAGCGTTTCGCCAACACGCACGCTCACCTTGACAACCACATCCAAGCAATCACTTCACATAGATTGTGTGAGGTATTGTGTGTCCTGTAAGAAGGAACGCATCCAGCGCCACTCGTGCAGCCAGGGGGCATAGCAGGATTTGGGCAACATGTCCACATTCGCACTTTCCACATGTACTTCCATCCTTGGAGAGTTCCGAGGTCCAGTTAGTTCGGTACGAGTTACTCCTCGAGCCGGTAGAACATGCGAAGCCGTTTCGGCACACCGTGGCATGTCATCTCAGGCTCCAGCTTAGAAGCACACGGGAATGCTACTGTGTCCCGCTCCCATAAGAAACGGCTATCGGCTAGTTGAAGCTTGGTGGAGCTTGGTGGGTGGTGGCATTGGTGCCCGGACTCTTTCCTTGCAGTTATGGCCCTCACACGGGCCCTCGCACTATGACTTTGAACATGCAAACTGGAACTTGTGCAAACCTGACCTCAGACGCAAGCACCTGCCGATGTTTTCCTGGTGCCGGGCTTAAGTGCAATCTCACTCTCTTCCTTCGCATCTCTGGAGGCATTGGCATGTACGCGGGGTGGGCAGTCGGATCGATAGCGGCGCTCAAGTTCTTCCTGTCGGCCATCTGCAGCTGCTTGGCGCTCAGCACCGCGACTCGTGCCAGACATTCTTCTTCGCGTGTTCTTGCCTCCCTCCTTGGCTCAAAGCGAGGTGAAGAGGGAGAGGCATCGTGCTACACAGGGTGGGTCTAGCAGCAAGTTGTAAAGACAAGCGGCGAACGGTCAATCAGATGTGGGTGTTGGTGTTGCAGTCAGCAAATCTCAGGAGTAGGACGGTACCTTGCTTCTGGCTTTCGATTGACCGCGTGAACTCACAAAAATTCCACAGCCTCCAGAACGCCTTGGCTCTACTCCATCAGGTTGGAGAATATCACCCAGGCTCGCAGTCTCCGCCTAGGCATTGGTCGCGTGACTGCGTCTTCATCTAGCTTCGAAGCTGCTAAGCTGATGGACTATAGGACGTATACTAGAATGATTAAAGAATGATTAAAGAGGCACTTGATTCTTGATTTCCCGGCTTTCAACTTCTCCTGCCCAGCTGCACTTCTGCCATAGACTGCCACGGGACTCTTCCCAGTTTGATCCTCGGAGTGGCGCTGCATCCCAGCACATGTAAGGCATGTAAGGCATGTAAGGCATATAAAGCATGTAAGCCGCACAAAAAAAGGCACATCGACCCGATGTCTTAGAGTCTCTGCCAGCCAGTTCAAGGGGTTCTGCTGCTGGGCTCCTATTAAGCGCTGGTCTTGAAAAATCTTGAAGCATCGCAAGAACATGCACGAACCCAATGCTGTAAGCAAAAAAGCCCTCGGACAGGAAGAGAAAAAAGGAGGGCCCTGAAACAGACTGCTTGCAAACCTGGGACACACCCTTGGCTTCCAGCTGCCAGTTGTCCAAGATTTCGAGCCGATTCCTCCGCGTGATGCAAAATCTCCCGGTACCGGGACAGAAGCCAAGTCATCGCACTTCCGCACGGTCACTGCAGCAAACGGCATAGCACTCTTGGTGCGGCTCGGAAGCTTCATACAAACACATACGCGTCGCGTGCCCGTTCGAGGGGATTTGCATTTTAAACGTGTTCGGCATGGCGGTCCAATCTCAGTCTCGTGTGCGTGCTCCTCGTAAATTGCAGAACTGTCGTCGCTTTCGGACTCTTTTGCTCCTTGAATCGTGCTCCAGGTCGTCGGGGTCTTACACTGTTTGGGGTGTACGCTGGCACATGACATGTTTCAAGATGTCCACGTTTTCTTGTGCTCTGCATCTTGACGTGGTGGACAAGCCGAAACGCTGTAATTTACAGTGCTTTCCGGTGCCGGGCAACTCCGAACACCCAGTGATTCGGGTATCACGGTATCACCATGATACTTCAAGTGCGGGGGTGGCTTGCCCTGAAAAGAGAGGGCTTTTCTTTGATTTCGGTCTTCTTTGCCGCCCGGTTTTAGGGTAGAAGCCTGGCCCTTGCAAAAACTGAATGATCAAAGGGTCTGACTAACTCCCAAAGCAACACGGGGGCTTAATGTTCACTGGTGATCGAGGAAGAAGCCAGCAATCTTTGAAGATGTTTTCGTTATATGAAGGCACGTAACTAAAAAATAATCGGAATATTAATAGTAAGAAAATAAACCCAATTAAAGGAGTGAATCAAAAGCTAGAGGAAATGCTCATTTTCGTGAGGCCTGCTGGTGAACGAGAAAAAGTCCCAGTTCTAATACCAAAAGCACGCGTCCTTTTGTCCGTGTCTTAGTATTGAATTGTAGGGGGAGAAAAGACCCACATTACATATGTTACTGTTAAGGTGTCTCTTGCCCACGTAGTATTACTGTAATACCTTTCACTTTACCTGTCATAAGACTAGCGGTGTAGGAAAGGAAAAGCTAAGGTGAACCGCTCTCTCCCTGAAGTCCCTTTAAATTGTATTATTTCATTCGGGCTTTTGCCACAATAGAATCAGCATAAGCTAATTTCATAGGGTTTGGAGGAAATGGTATTCTATTAGCGCGCATGCAAAAAAAACTCTTCTTTCGTGCGCTCGCTTAACGGGCTTCAGAGGGACCACCGTTGCAAAGAGGATGCTATAGGCAATGGTTCACATATGATCCCTGTCAGTCGAGTTTAGGGTTGCAACCCCAGCCATCTTCAAACGGAACGGTCCAGGCGTGGAACCTCTACAAGCAATAGGGGAGCCACACCCTCAGCAAACAGCACAAAGACAGCATCCCACAAGCCTGCTGGAAATGAGCACATGTCTCATGTCTCAGTGATTTTGCCCAGGTGCTTGATCCAGCTGCCCCCTCCGTGGATGTTGACCTCGTGCTTGAATGTTTTGCAGCTCTCTCGGCTTTCGCTGCACATCTCGTTTGCTGAGACATTTACAACTTCACGAGCTCAAAGATTGGCGCGCAGGACCATGTCATCAGCTTGTGATCTTCCCTGGGCTCCAGACGTTGAACAAAGCCACCAAACGGGGACGGCAAACGGTCTCAATGATCAGCCACTCCTGAGCCATTCGGCAGGTCTGTCGATGATTGCGTCACTGGAGTGCAGGCCTGTCCTTCGTAACATCGGCAGAATCCTGGTCGATAATGACCTCGCATCTTACATCATCTGCAGGCTGGTGGTCTTGAGTCGCTTGGAAGTTCGCTCTGGTCCATGTACGGCGGTGAGGCGGCCCGCGGTTTGATCCATAAGACACACTACTACGACACACTACTACGAAGTGGAGGCCGGGCTCCCTTCACCATATTTCACCATGTGCTTTGGGGGCCAAACGCAGCAATGAATGCCTTGGTGATGCTGTGCCAACAGTCCGGGACCCGGGCCAGATCTACAGGAGCCAAGTGCTGACAAGCAATGTCCACCCTTGGCTGGCTTTGCTTGGAGAAGCGCATGCTGCATGGGTTCTGAGCTGGGTGAACAGTGGTGCATTTCATCAGCCACAAAGCTTACGAGCCAACCCCAGAAGAAGTTGCACCAATGCCAAGCCCGGTGCGCGTTCCACGCGTAGCCCTGCAAAGGCTTATGCACCAATGTTGCACCTGCCACAAATGACATCGAGACTTTCTGTGCAACATAAAGCTATCCCATTCTTGATGAGCAAACAGGACATACCCCGGTCATACCCCAAAATCATCCGAAGAACCTTCCTCCCAAGCTACTGCAGCAAAAAACTCCCCGTGAGGGTCCCACCACTGACACTGCAGCTGTGTTGCCATGCGCGAATACGATTTGCGGTGGCTCCTTGAATCTTAAACATGGAAACAAAGCATACCGACACGTTGGAGGGCAAATGGCGCGTGACAACGGTTCAAGGGGCGTGATGCTGCATGCAGTGAACCAAAATCGCATGTCTAAGCCTCGTCTGGGCCAGGAGGTTGTCGTACAGCCTGCCGGTGTGTCGCTGCTTGCTCCGCTAGGCACGACTCTGAGGACCAGCTTGGGCTCACAAAGATGCAGGGCTGAAAAAGTGCAAAACCCACGCCTCCAGTATGAGCTCCTGGTATTTGTACAATTTCTCCTGCTAACAGGGAGCGAATGCTGTCTGAGCCTCGTACCTCGTGTCAGCTCCACTTACTTTGCAGATGCCTTGTAGGAATTGGACAGAGGAACACCTTCACCCTCCTCTGCGCAGATGTCCCTTGGATGATGGTTTCTTTCTCTTTCTCTAGTCTTCTTCTTCTTCTACTGGAAGGCACGGGGCATGAGGCTACGGCATGCGTTGCCTGTTAACGCGCTTGTTGGTGAACCTGTGCTACTACTGTTCACGCAGGATGAAGCTGAACGGCAAGCAGTTGCAACTGGTCGTCTTTGCTTAGCCGCTGTGCTGTTACTGACCTGTTCGGTTCCATTGGTCTTCTTTCCCTGTGCCTTTGCCCTACTCCCTTCCTCAATACCTGAATGCCTGGCCCTCAACCTGCCCTCAAACACCCTGTCTGCCGCCGATCCCTTTGTTTCCAAGTCCCGAACCTATCAGAGAAACACACGGAAACCTCGCTACACAAGCTTTGCTTCGGCAGAGTTATGGACCTACAAGTTCTCCAGCACTTCACGTTGTCGGACGAATCCGACACTTTTTTTGTCCTTCAAGCTCTGGCCTCTTGTTGATGCTTCCTCTTGAGTCTGTTCAAGTCCTTTGGTCTCTCTTCCAGTGACAGGATATCTACATCCTTTGCCGCTTCCGCGGCTCCTCTTATGTCAGGCAGCATCTCTGCCAACTCATCATCCTCCTCTACGGCTCGAATCTCATCTTCCTGGGCTGCCTGCAGAGCCCGCAACGCGGGCCCTGCCGGCATACTGTGCTCCAGGGCACTCAGGTACTCCTTCTGGTAAATTGCTGGCGCCAGCAGTCGCTGCAGTAAGGGAGGCCATCTTTCCCCGCGCGGTGCATCCACGAGCTCGCCATCCAGCCAAACGGTCAGCAACCACCGCTGATGGGACTGGCCTGCTGCGCTTGGTGGAAGCGAGTAGTGCAAGATACGATCGGAGAGGAACAGAACACCACGGTTGAAGCAAGGAGCGATCGGCACGGTTGAGCCAAGAAAAGGCTGTATGACCAACTCTGCACCGAACTCTGGCTTCCAATCTGTGCTGAGGTACAAAAGCCAAGTGACCTGGCGTCTTGGCGCAGTTTCAGAGGTGTCATAATGGCAGGGTGCACTTCCGGCAGATCCTGTCGTTAGCTGCAGTTTCACTTGCACTTGCGAGGCATCACCTGTGCTGCCCGCCAGTGCAAGCCACGGCAGCTCCGCCATCAAGGCCATTGCTAAAGGTACAGCAGCCTCGCGGGCAAAGCGGGAGAGGTTCGGAGCCAGGGGCAGCTCAACGCCATCCAGGCCCACGAAACTTCTTCCAGGATGCCTGTACTCGCAGCGATCCCCACCGGTTACTTGGAACTCGAAGCAGTGTGGTTGCAAAACGCCGGCTTCTTCGAGCAGAAGGCATTCTGATGCCAGTGCGTGCGCCCAGTCGACGCTCAAGCAATGATCCAAGCTTGCCCAGCCCTGATCTTCAAGTTGAGGTGCACTACGGGAAGCAATTGAGCTGATGGAGTGCGGTGGCGTGATTGGCATATGTGACTTCTCGGCCACGGAGGTGCCCATCCCGACAACACATGACATTGCGAGACTACGAGAAGCCCGCGAAAGCCCTTTGCAATGACGACCTCAAACAATGACCAAATAAAAACGAGTCCCCTTGCTTGAACGGCACAGTCTTCCCGAACAAAACTTACCGACGACTCATGAGCCAGAATGGAACTCTTTCATTCAGCACGTTTTGGCCACTCTCGCTCTGTCTGTCTCCTCTTTCTGTATCTTTCTCATGTTAACCCCTGCTCAGGCGAAAATTTGCTACAGTAGCGCTGTGGCGTTCTTTCTTTCCCGTGTAGTATTACTCGCATTAAATTTAAAGCCAAGTTGCGCAACCCTTGGCGGCTTGCGTGGCAGGAGCGGCCTTCTTAGAATCTTAAACAATGTAGATGGGGCAGAACACACACAAAGTCATCGACACAAATGCTTTGAGCAGCTGAAGCTTCTTTTGATCCTTGACAGTGCATGACGGTCCTTTACTTGGGCCAAGATACACCTGCTTCACTTGCGAGAGCGCCTGGCACGGAGACAGGTCTTACTCTACTCGAGACCGTTTGATTGGAGCTGCACTCTGCTCAATTTGCCTTTCCTGCTCTCATTTGCGACGCTTGTCATTCACGTTCACAACGTCAATTTGCAGAGGGGGAGTTCGTTGACAAGGGGTCTAGAGCCACTGTTTGGCCATCTATTGCAGCAGAATTCGAAGCCCAACCCCCCCCCCCCCCCCCCACCCTCGTGCTAAGAATCCACGGCACAAAGGTTGTGCTGATTCCTGCTGCCTGACGTCGGACCTCATCACCCAGTTTAAGCATTCGTCTTGTTTCTTCTGCCTCGTCTATCTTGTCCTGGTGCCGTTCGAAGCCAACCACCATCGGAGGCCTCTGCCACAACAAGTGGGTGAGTGGCAAAAGCATTCTTCTCTCTGCAAACCAGGTGTCCACTTCTCAAGTCCTGTTCCGGTCTCCGCTGGTGTTGCCTTTAAGCCCCTCGGGCCTCCTGCGAGCTTTCGAAGCGGAAAGCCTGGAAACGAAAGCAACTTGCTCTGACAGAACTTTCTCACGCTTCGTTTACTGCTTTCCTCCCTTCGTGCGCGTGGCCCGACTGAGTGCCCACCGTGGCGACGCTGTCTTGCGATGCCCCGCCTACCACGCCTACCATAAATATTTGCAAATATCCTCAATGAGTCAACCTCTTGGGGATGCACATTGGCAGATTGGCAGATGGGCTCTGTCTCGACAACACCCCAACCCTCAATGCCCTAGGGCCCTGCGCGGCAAGACCCCGTACTTGCGGGGCAATTTTCATACAATTCCCTCTCTGTCTGTCTTGTCTTGCTGTTCTTTGTGTGTGCGTGTGTGTCCCTCTCTTCTTCTTCTCCTTCTTGTTCTGCAAGGGGAGCAGCCCACTTCCCACCTCCCTCCCGCGACCACCCTGCGCTTAGATGATTATGCACAGCCTCTTCTGTTACCCGACATCCTTGGCTGGTGAAGCGTGAACTCATCAACCCGACTGCTGTCCAGGAGGCCCTTCAGCAACCGCTTTGCAGCTGAAGCCTGGCGTCATCCAACCGAAGCATGCGCAGTACATCGCAGTACAAACCACACTTCACACGGCCAGTGCGCTGTAGCCCAGAGGTCAAGAGGTCAGGAGATGTGTTCAAGTGTTTCGTGTTGCGCCGCATGGCCACATGTGCAACTCGACCGGCCTCCCCCCAGGAAGGTATCCAGCACGATGTCCACAGAGGGAAGTGTAGCGATGCAGGTGAGGGTCGTTAGCAAAGCATTCCCTGAGGGAAAGTGCTGTGCAAACAAAACTAGTAGTCTCACGATCTTCCTTTGTCAATTTGTGCATCTCTTTGAGGCAACTACACAGGGGCACCTGCACGCATGGTAGGAGCAAGGACACTGAGCCGGATAGTAGTTTGTTCTACCAGAAAGCTACAATCCCAGCTTCGCCTCCCATTCCCACATCTCTTGCTCTATTTCAAGCCTGTCAAACCCGACCCCCATTGTCACTGCCCGCGCCAGCCACTGATTCGTCAGAAGGCTCGTTTGCAGCCTCTTCCTGCCGGTACCAGGGAAGTTACCTGTCCTTGCTCACTGCTTGATCGTGAGATGAATGCTGCTTGGACAATTGGTCCGTGACTTGGACACTTGCTCTTCAGTGAGTTTCAAGCATCCCTCCTTGGCCCTCTCCGCGCAGCTTCGCACGCCGAGCCAGGATGTTCCTGCACTTTGCGAAATGGCTCCTTGCCACGAAGCGCTCCCCAAAAGTCATACTCGGAAAAAACAATCTTGAACTTGTACCTGCAAAGTGGACATGATCACTGAGTTCTAGCTTGTATACTCCTGTCTGTGTGGCGAGGACCCCCTCCAGCATCCCAGAGCAACATCGGGTCTCCTGGGATAGGCCGACAGACTCATGGTTCAGCATATCATATGTATGTACGAGGCCTGCTCCCCTCCCAGCCCCGCCCCACCCCAAATCCCCTCGTGCGCAAGCAACGGTCAAAGCGCGTTTCGGGTCCGCCCGACCGTGAACGGGGGTGTGCGTTTCAGGTCCGCCGTGCGTGGCCGCGGAGGTGCGTTTCAGGCTCTGCTGGACTGCGTTTCGTACAGGCCAAGGTGCGTTTCAGGTCCGGCACCACCAGAAAGCCACAAGTCCGAAGCCCCTGAAGCCACCCGCTACAAGCCATGTCAGGCCACGTTCAGGTTTTATAGGGTTTAGAGCCGCTGCTGACACCAGAAAAGAAGTGCCTCGTTCAATCCCCAGCCCTCTTGTCATGCTAGTCTACATTGTGTTCCAACCACGAACATTGTTGATGCTAATCTACATTGTGTTCCAATCCCGAAGAGTGTTGAGCCTTTAGGGTTTCGGGTTTAAGCGAAGCTTCAAGAAGGATCCCGGCTTGAAAACTAAAGCTGCATTGAAAGGCGAGAGGTGTTTGGAGAGCTTTCAGTGTCGCCTTGATGCCTCACCTTCGTTCGTGAGCACACTCAAGCCTAAACCCCTAAATCCTAAACCCGATAAGTCCTGGACCCTATAAATACAATAAACACACTTTGTGCCGCCCTAAACTAAAACCTAAAACCTAAAACCTAAACCCTAAACCCTAAACCCTAAACCTTAAACCCTAAACCCTAAGCCCTGAACCCTAAACCCTAGACCCTCAACCGAAAACCCTAAACCGTAAACCCTAAACCCTAAACTCAAAACCCTAAACCCTAAACCCGAAACCCTAAACCCGAAACCCTAAACCCTAAAACCTAAACCCCAAACCCTAAAGCCTAAACCCCCTAAACCTTACAACCTAAACCCTAAACCCTAAGCCCTAAACCCTAAACCGTAAACCCTAAGCCCTAAACCCTAAACCGTAAACCCTAAACCGTAAACCCTAAACCCTAAACCCTAAACCCTAAACCCGAAACCCTAAACCCGAAACTCTAAACCCTAAAACCTAAACCCCAAACCCTAAAGCCTAAACCCTAAACCCCCTAAACCTTACAACCTAAACCCTAAACCCTAAACCCTAAGCCCTAAACCGTAAACCCTAAGCCCTAAACCCTAAACCGTAAACCCTAAACCGTAAACCCCAAACCCTAAACCCTGAACCCTAAACCCCAAACCCGAAACCCTAAACCCGAAACCCTACACCCTAAAACGTAATCCCCAAACCCTAAACCCTAAACCATAAGTTGTGCGCCTGAAATGCACCATGTGTGCGTCTGAAATGCCCCTTGTGTGGTTCTGAATTGTCTCCCGTCTGGTTCCTGAGCACCGGACCTGAAATTGGTACCTGAAACGACCCTAGGTGCGTCAGAACCGTACAACACTCCGCAAGCAACGCAGGCAAGTGGCCTCGAAGCCTGAATCAGACGGAAAGCAGTTTGCATTTTGACCTCAGTCAGCTCCCATCTGTTCTCGCAACAAGAGCAGAACCGACCCACACGGAACTACGCGACACCTCGTCTGTCGAGACCTCCCCTTGTGCTTGCTCACTAAGCAGCATGGCCGCTGCACAGTGCATGAGTTTGTAGTTTAGGGCACCTGCATCAAATTGGGCAGGTTGTGTGGATGAGTGCGGGCATCCCTCGCAAACGAAAATGGATTCTTTAAGCAGGATACCGCGGCTTCGTAAGCAGCAGAGCTCGTAGGAGAAGCCCCCCTGCCAGCATTCCTTGGAAAAAAGCTGAGTATGGGAGTCGGAGGGCCGTCACAGGCAAGAAGATGATGTACTTGCAATATGCCAGCGCAGAACTGCAGCTAATCATTCCTAATACAAGTCTCTGCGGTGGTTCCCGGCTGCGGTGCGCCAGCCAGGCTGAGCAGAAGCGACGCAGCCTTCGCTTCCAAGGCTTAGGGTGGCGCTTCCAGAACCCATATACGACCTCACTGCCTAATTGCGAAGTGGGCAAGCACCGGAACCAAGCACATTGCTGTTTGAAAAATCTCAGCTTGCTGAGGAGGTACTAAACTGTACCCGTGGCGCGAGAAAGTCGCGGCGCAACCCAGCAGCCCGACTTGCCAGTGGTAGTTCCCCATGCTACTACGCTGCTTGGGAATGCATTGCAGCAGCTTCAAGAAGCTAGCATTCAACCAAGCTGACGAAAAAACCAGCAATGCAGGATGTAGCAACGGCTCGGAACACGGTGCAGTTGCTGGAGGTCTTAGGTGTCTTTGGGGTCTTTAAGCCTTCAGGGCACAGGACTGCGAAATACTGCTGTTGTGCGAGGAAAGTCGGGTTCCCATGAAGTAACAGGCTTTGCAGAGGATGTGGTTCAATTCAGCTGGAGCCTGGTATGCCGAAATCCAGGATGCCTTCCAACACGCGTTCTCATGCAGAAGCCAGCGTACGGACACTTGCAGTTAGCCGTCGGGACCGATGCCACTACAGCCACTACATTTACGCCTTGCCTGGAGCGAGGCGAAGCGGCCTGCAAATGTCGAGCCCGCTCGCAGCGGAAAGGGTATGTACACCCAAGTGGGGTGCTCTTATGGCACCGAGGAAAGCAAGCGACGGTGAATGAACTGCGGAAATGTGCAGAAGAGTAACTGCTATCCTGCTTGCCTGGCTTCTGTCCTGCCATGTGTCAAAAGCAGGCTCAGGACCTGTTGCTGCCCTGCGTCGATGGTTCTTTGCTTGCGGCTCTGGTGGAACAAAGCTTCCCTCCATAGTTCTAAGTGGGACGAGCTGCGAATGCTTCGTGCGGCAATGTCAATGGGAGTGAAGCTTTGGCCAGGCCAGACAGAAACACGACATGCGTCTGTCACCCTCGCTCCCGAGCGCAGCAGCAAGGCGCAAATCTCGACCGCACCTCTCAAGGAGACACCATGGCGGGAATGACCGGCCTCTCAACTCTCAACAATTCCTGCGCGAACAGAAAGTCGGGAAGTGGGGAGTCGAGTGTCTTGCCTTTGCTGGCCGCGATATGAAGCGCAGTCCAACCGAATGGATCTCTGCTCGTCACGTCCGCCCCGAAATCCAGTGCCTCCCAACACGGGCAAGAAAACATGGTGTAAGCCACCCAGCTGAGCGCCAAAGACTTTAGCGGGGAAACAAAAGGATCAACGCAAAGAGGAACATCTCAGGTTGTGCCTGTCGAGTGCCGTCGAGGTCCTTCCGGCGAACGGCTTCATGCAACAACCTTGGCTGCAAGATGCTGCAATGCAAGTATTCGCGAGTTTTCCTCACAGAAATGCAATGCAATCACTAGGCTTCCGTTTGCCTAGGCAGCGTAAGCCCAGCGCAACCCTTGCACACGGCAATACAGTCCGGAGAGGCGGCAACCCCGACGGTGGTCAACCCAACAACAGCCAAACACCGGGTTGGGAATCTTGGTATATCTTGGTGTTTCGGATGGGCTGCAATACCGCCTTTGTGGGGTGCTGTGGGGATATGTCACGCGATGAAGGCTTGTGTCCAGGGTTTAGAAGAAGTGTCGGTCGGGCAAATGCAGGGTTGAGGGATTCTAGGCTTCACGATGCTCGGTCCACGCTTCCAAGATTGCAGCATGAAGCAAAGAGAGGGCCTCGGCCCTCGGCGATTTAAGGTCTCAAGGTTCACAAAGGCTTACAGTAGGGCGTGCAAACCCCCGAGATCCCCCGAGTCTGGATATTCGGCCTCACTTACCACCTTTTCTCGGCAGTACCATTCGAGAAGTACCGCGACACTCACACACACACAATTGCCAAAGACACTCAAAAACATTGGCGGCAGCACTTTCAGCTGCACATGCCCCGCTTGCTAACGTCAACCTGCAAAATCCAGACAATCCACATAGAAAGCTGACAACGAACCAGTTTCAAGAATCGGCATGTCCTACTATAACCACTTCTGGTACTCTAGTCGTCTAGCCTAGCACCCTTGCACAAAATACCGGGATTCGTTTTGAAAAGGCTTGAGTCGCAAATCGTGGGTTTTTTTCCGCTGTGCCCAGCGGCTGATTGAGCCGTGCCTCGGCGCCCAGTGCAGTCTGCAGGGCTGGGCGAAGGCCGGGGATGGATGCGGCGAAAGCCTCCCGGGCAAGGTTTCGAGACTGTGGTCTATGAGTCTATGACGAAACAGCTGAAGAGCAGAGTAACTGACTGAAGACTTCGGAAGTGTTTCTCTGTGCTTCTTCCGCTACAGGTACTCCCCGCTGTCTCGTGCTTTCGAACCGCCGTTCCATGGTCCAAAGGGATATATGATATAGGGACTCTAGTGAGTGACTAAAGAAGGTCGTGGCCCGGCAATTGGACGAAATTCTCAAGATCTTTTAAACATGTTTGAGTCGGGCTTGAGCTTGATTCAGCACCAGGAAGCTCGGCGTTTTACTGTGAGCCTCTGGCGGTGCCCATGAGAGCTGCGGCCGCGTAGCCGTTACCACACTGGCCAGGCGCAAGCAGCAACGCCTCTGAGTCTGAGGCATCGGGCTCAAGACGGACGATCATTTCAGGGCCACTCTAAGTCATAACCTGGAAAATCAACCGTCTACGGCTTTACCTTTCATTGTCACAACCATCAAGCTGTGAAAACAGCAGGAGCTGATCATGGCCGGGCCTATGCGGTACCTCTCCAGTGGTGGCCCAGTGTCGCAAGACAGTGCGCAAAGCCAGAACGGCAAGATCGTGCCGCCTTGCACCTCCAGCGCCCAGAGTTGCGATATGTTGCAGCGTTGCAGATTGGAGCACGAGCCTTGAATGCCTCAACACCGCACCCTGGAAAAAGCTCAAAAGCACTTCTTTGCCACGCCTGGTGACAGCTTCTCCCGGCGATCGCGCCGCGTGTCCTGCTTAGAATCTCCCCAAGCAGGCTGCACCACCTGCTCAGCCCCTTTTGACTATGACCCTTCTTTTCTGCAGATGCTATGCCACACATGCCACACGATCTGTAAAGCAGATCCTGCACAGGTTGCCGAAACCGATACTAAAGGTCCTGTGGCGCAGCGGTTCTTGTGATCAAAGTGACCCGATCCAAGCAGAAGCACATTGCGACTTCGACTTGCGCGCGCAGGGCTAGTCTTGCGGTTACAGTGCACGCGGTGGGCCGTTGTATGCACCATGAGTGTGAAGCGTGAAAGTAAGGCTGTGTATGGTGTACGTCGGAAGGAAGGTGGGGAGCTTTAGGTTGCCTGCAAGTAATGTTTCTGGAAAGCTACACACTGGCTCTTGTGCCGTTTGCTCCCTTGTCAGTTCAATCTCCCAAACGCCGTGGGAATCGCAACTGTTTTCTGCTGTGGCCCTTCATCCCAGGATGCAAGCATATGCCAGTAGGCCAGCACTCCACCCGCCAGCATCCTCAATTTTCCTTCTGCGCTTGAAAGCAACGGTGCCTTTAAACGGGCACTGGCAAATTGATGGGCAATGGCCCATCATGTGCCGAACCCTGAGGTTCTCGTGGCATGGCTACACCACCAAATCAATCTATGCCGGTCAGACTGAATTCCGGCGTATGGCAGTCAGGATCGGCAATGTCGCGGTGTGGAGAAGAGCCTCAGCATCCCCTGCTTTCAACACTCTTTCAACCTCTCGCATCGACTGGTACTTGTACTGCCCAAAACACGCGCCCGAAAAGTCTACCCTGCTACGCTCGACGGAGACACAGCGAAATGATGCCTTTACAGCGGAGGCCATAGCTTCTTGATGCACTTCTGAACTGCACAATGATGCAATAGCATGTCAAAGTGGATAGCCATCCGTTTGGGGACTGTTATGGATGAAGCGGTTCAAGAAGATCGCGGTTTTTCCTTGCGAATCGGCAAGCAATAGACGAAGACTACTGAGCCTAGTAAAACTACTAAGAATAAGACTCAGAATCTCCCACAGATTCGATCAATTTTGACCGGGCTGCAGAAGCTGTGGCTCCGGGACAGCCCCGGCAATCGGGGGGCATCTCGTAGCCTAGAGAGATGTGTGCGCTCTTGCGGCAGAGCTTGCTCTCTCTCTCTCTCTCTCAGCACCGGAAACTTGCAACTCCCGATCTGATAATTGCCAAGAAAATGACAACCGTCTTTCGAGAAATTGCGCAGTGTTGGCACAGGCAGCACAGCATCGCGAAATCTGTGCTTCAACAGCAGGGCGGAAAACGGTGAGCAGCTCCTGGTGTATCTGGGAACATGAAGCCGGGGCTACACGTTCATGAGATTTCCTGAGCGACGGTTTGAACGCGCCAAAGCCTCAGAACCCAGCCCCCTAACAACCGTAAATTATGTTGTGTGGAAGGGGCTTTGGCTTGCGCACCCAAAGCCTTCCTGGTCTAGGAGCAATGGCGAAGAGTTCGAGCGCGACATCCGGGATCGAGGCAATTTCCGCAGCTCCTGGTCGCTGTCAGTTGCAGGACTTGGAGGGTAGGACCTCATGTGGGATTGGATTGAGGCTCTACTGACCGGGATATCTGACACAGATCCCCAGCAAATGAGACTGAGGGGTCGGTATCTTGGACAGTCGTGCACAAGACCGCGCTCCGCAATTCATGGAATGACTTGATAATCTGGGGTTGCAATTGTTGTCCAGGACGTCAAACTTCTGAACCGTGATGCGCTACATAGCCAAAACAGCATACGGGATCAAATTTACGGAAATGGGTTTAGATTGAATGGTTTATAAGGTTTTGTCGCTCACGCTCGGACGGGCCAGGCGAGGCACACTGTGTCTCAGGGTCTCTCGGTGAAGCCAATTTGGGCCCCTGTGATACTTGTGGCGCTTGGTCATACCTTCAGTTGCTCAGTACTTACAGGATACGTACCATGTCCACTACACATTTGTTTGCCCGCTCTCAGTACACATCATAGCTGGTTTGCAGGCTCTGGACAGAGGAGGGGTTTTCAACATGCATCCTCTAGCATTAAATCAGTAAGACTGTAAACCCCATCCCCATGGGAGTCACCTCCTATTGGCGCCCACTTCATTCTCCGTCACTGTTGGCTCACTCTGGCAGAATCCGTTCTCGGCACCGACAGCATGGATCGTCACTGCTCACCCATTGCTTCCATGCAGCCCCACCAACATCCTTTCTGCCAGCAGATCTCTCCCATCTCTGTTCAGCACTGGCTCATTTGCCCCGGAAACCAGGCAGCCCTCATTGTCAAATTCCACGGTTGAGGGTTTTGGGAGATTTGCTCAGGAGGATCTGATATGATATCACCAAGGGATACGGGGGGACTTGCAGCAACCCTAAACAGCGCAGCCTCGGAGCGACTGGACATTCTCGATGCATCGGGTGCAGTGACCTCACCACAACAAGCTGCGATTCAGAGAGGCTTGTGGATTCACGGTTCCACTCTCAAGCCAGTGAAGTGCAGACGTGCGTGGTCGTGCTCGTAACGTTGTGGGACGGTAATGCGGATGTTCGCAAACAGAGTCTACTGGTACACAGAAACTGCAAGCAACTCCAGCTGAGGGTCGGCCACCTCCTCACCCTGCTCCTTCTCAAATCTCGGCTCCTAGCCGTCCAGAGAAGTCTTTACTCTACGCTGCGCTGAGGAGCTGTGAGCCGTGAGTGGTCATTTTTTCTTGCTCTGGTCTAGGCCAAGGCCTCCCAGATCTTTACAGTGTCTCGGGGCGAGTATGGCGAGCACACAGCGTGCCTGGAAGGCCCAGGGCTCGGCGATGAACGCCCTGAGAGTCTCGAAGTCTTCCTCGCCTGAGATCGCAGCGGGACTGGAAACATGGTACCTAGTCCCGAACCGCAGCTCTTGGCAGGCTGCTGTGTGCACCGATGCCGCCCAACTGGTTCAGCGGGCCGCAGCTTCGGTAGACTTCATCATACCGGGCCACTTTGCCTCACAGGCTCTGCGAAGCGGTATGTACAATATATATATATATATATATATATCTATATATATTTTTTGTTTTAATTTATCTACAACTATTTAAGTGCGTGCGTGCGTGCGTGCGTGCGTGCGTGCGTGCGCGTGGCTCTGTGTGTGTGTGCCTTCACCCTGCAGCCAACCCGTGAGCTCTACGCCGACGCTGTAAGTCAATTGCCTAAACCCACAATGCCATGCACGCCTACTCCGTCCCCTGCTCCTATGGCAGGCGCTGAGATGAGCAAGGAATGCCAAGGCACAATAGCGCAGCGCCTGCTTTCCAAGTGGGCTCTGCAGATTTTCACGCTCGTCGTCTACGAGGATGACCTCATCTGTCAGGGGACTCCGAGCCTTTGCAACAAATTCCTCCCCCTGACAGTATGACCGGGCACATGGGTACAGCACAAGCTGGACCAAAGAAACGTGCTCTAAACGGTGCTGTGTGACTGTACAGGCGCGCTGCCGGTGACACAGTGTAACATGCAGGCCCGAGCACCGATTCAGGCGACAGCGGCTGCAGCCGTATGTAGCGGTCCTGGCGTTGCAGAGATCTATGGGCTGGTTGATGCGCAAAATCAAACGGCGCATCCTGCTTCAGCCCAATTTGGGGGAACCACTTGTCGGTGTGCTCCACCTTATCTTCAACACAAAGCAAGGATACCCAACGCATGAGATTCCGGAGCTTTGTGTTGCCCTCTTCTACCGATGTTGACTCCACATTCATATCCAAGTCATGGAGCCGCACCGGTCACCGGCAAGTTCATGTGACAAGGCATGCCCGCATCTGTCCAGCAAAGCAAGGTGCCGAGAACTAGCTAACAGGCAAGTGGCTATGTGGTACAGCACCTCCTTAGTGGCAGCATCTTGTGGATCGACATGCTCTCGACAAGGCATGCCGAAAAAAATGACTTTCGTTTCACCAAAACGCTTCCATACCCTCTCAACAATGTCGTGTAATGTCGCGTAAAGCAGCCGTCTGGTGATCCTGGATGTCCATCAATGGGGGCTCAAACACCTCCCACTGTCCAGGTGAAGCTTGGTACACGGCGCAAGGAACGAGCCTGCAGTGTTTCTCAAGGCTCGAGCCGACCAAATCTTCCACACCACAAATGACATGTAATGACCAGTAATGACATTGCGGCTCAATGGTAAAAAACGCTCTGAGACTCTGATTTGTCCGTGTTGGGCCAAGCGACGACCGGTAAGGCGTAGTCCAAATGGCACTGAAGTATTTTGCAAGACCCGCCAGTTTCAGCAGGTTCAAGACCTCATGTTACGCGTAGAATCGCATAGACAGCAATTCAGAAGCCGACAGCAGAGGTACACAATTACAAGATGGCGGTTCGCTTGCCAGCCCAGGCATTGAGGTGCCAGTGTGCCGAACATCACTGCTGTCTTTATTGGCCACCTGGCGTATAGTCGGCCAATACGGCTTCCTTAAAAAACCCATCCCGACACTTCTCAGATTCTCCACTCTGGACTGAGTTTGCGGCCGCGGCCGCACCGCTCTCATTTTTCGAGAGCACGGCCAAGATGTGCCGCTTGGAGATATCCTCTGAAGGTGCAGTGCAAAAAAGTAGGAAGCAAACTTGAAGGCAAACCGTTGGCAGACCTTTCAAGTCTCGATGTCAAGTTAGGTCTTTCCAAATGCAGCTCTCAGGTATTTATTCTGATGCTCTGACAAACCAGCACCGGCAAGGTGTGGAGTGTGATTTCGGCTATGCCATGCTCAGCAACCCTCGGGTGATCGCGCAGCACCGGGACTGTGAAATACTTCCGCTGGTAGCCTGGCAAACAAAGCCTCGATGGCCTTCACCTCCTGCTCTGAAGGCGAGCTCAGTGCGATAGCACAGGCTCCGAGGGATGGCACGGGCCAACATGTTCTTGCAATGGCTGTGGCCCGCGCCGATTTGTGGGAGGCTGCAAATCCGGACAGGTTCAAGCTTTTGCCAACACGGTACGGCGTGGATGAACAGTAAAGCCACGCGGGTCCGGACGGGGGTCCAGGCGGGTGTTGGGAGGGCTTAAGTTTTAAGTTTTAGAGGCGAGGGCTTGGGATTAATCCTGAAAACAGGGCATGCGCCTGCCCAGAGTTTGCACTACGATCAGTCTCGACTCACTTCCTTTGCATTATCAACTGCTGTGCTGCTTCCTCACTTCTGGGCGTGGTTTGGTGCACGCACAGCAGGTCGCAAAGATCAACGGCACAGTACCGATGAACAAGCTGTTCAGCTGCACGCCCACTCCACCACCCGAGGCTGCAATCAAGTTCATGTACCATACCAGCACGGAGGACCAGGCAACATAAGGAATTATGACAATGGACGTCGGCGCCACTGAAAGGACGGGCAACCCATGAAGGTGCAACGAACGGGAGTCCGGGCCGGATGGGAAGGGCCATCGGCAAATGGTACACAGTCTGAATTGAATGCTAACGCTCATGAGGCGCTGCCCCATAGTTGCACCCTGTTTCCAAGAACTTCCAACCCTGCACCTTGACGCTCTGGGATGCTTGCGCTTGCATGCAGTTTCTCATTACTGGCCACGAGAGTTTGTCAAGTTGTGGAGGGCAAGAAGGCTCCCGGCCCGGCAGCAGTCCTGGAGCATGGCCCTCAACAGCGCCAGTCCTTTGGGCTTCCAAGAATCAGTTTTTTTTGGTAGCAGAATTCACTAAGATCCAGATGAGAAGGGCCACCCTGGATGCAAAATAGCGCAGACCAGGCAGCTGCAGCCCTCCGAGAAAGGCGACTCGAAGCTGTAGAGCACCAGCTCCTCAGCGCTCCAGTCCTTAGCCGAGGCTGAAAGGCTTGCAAATGGTGAAGAAAAGCCCCGTGATGGAATCCCTCTTGTGTCAACAGCACTGCAACAAGTTCCGAAGACCTAGGCCTTGTCATGTCCTATCCTTAAACCCAGCCTAAAAACCTGTCGCCTATCGCCAGCAGACACAAAATGCCAAGCTGCCGTCCCTGACAATTCGCCAGGATCCCAGTCGACACGTGAGAAGGAGCTCATTGAAGGCCTGATGGCGGGCACAATGCAGACCGCCTAGATTGGTCTACACTGCCTGCCTGTGTTACGCCCACATTAACGCAGTCGACCAGAAAAAATGTGAAAGCAAGATGGCATGCTATTCATAAACGCACATTGAGCCCCCGTGCACAAATTCTTCACCTGCAGTTGGGCTGCATGAATGTCGCCAAGGTCAGAGTCTCATCGAAATCGAAGAGCACAATCTCTACGGGTCGCCTCACACCTGTCGGAGCTTTTGACAACTTTCAGACTTTGGATCGCGCTCGCAGCTGAGCATCATCCCTTATTTTCAGGGGAAGTTTGAGCACCCGAAGTGCAAGCAAGATTCCGTGGTCTGGAAAGCACTTCTCCACGCAGTGAAGCTTGAACGTCTCCTTGTGCTCTTTCGGGGGAAATGCATGGGGACCTCGTGACCTCGTGACTCCTGATGATGCGTGAGGCATGTCACGAACATCAATGAACATCTGGAGCACGATGTGAAGGTGCGCGTGTGCAGTATGCAGCATGCGCAAGCATTTCGCTGCATGGGTGTCCTTGTACATGGAAGGGGCCTCCACGAACATTTGCAGCGTGCGAAAGTCTTCGATGCAGTGCGCACCGATGCCTCCCATGTTCTTGACCTGAGACATAGACGGAGGCGCCGAGCCAATACTGTAACATACTGTAACATACTGTAATTGCTTCATATTTGTGCCAGGCCGAGGAGTCGCAATGGCAGTAGGCCAAGTGCCCGAGTTTGAGGGTAAATTAAAGGCCCAACTTGATGCTGGAGCGTCGAGCAGCAAATCCAAGATTTCTGTAGAAGGCATCGTAGCGTGCCACCTGCCGTCAGCAAAGCAAGGCAAAGCGAAACGTGGAGAAGGAATGCTCTCATGCATCCGGCCTTGCAGAAGCGAAGCACCTGCGCGCCTGACGGACTCCTCAGAGGTTGCACAGGCAGGTGTGACGTCATCAGCTCGCGCTGTTTTGGCTCTGCTGCACTTTTCGGGAAGCAGGCATTGGCGGAATGTGCGTAATTCGGAGTTCGGGAACAAGCCTGGAATCCTAAACCGAGATCGAGGCATATCGAGGCTGCTGGAGTCAACACTTTTCACAAAATTGGACAGGCGAAGCAGGCTCTTGACAATTCATAAGACGCTTCAGGTTTTGCAATTCAGGGTTTCGGTTCGCCATAGTGACTTCTTCGGACTCCATGGGGGGCATTGGGGGACCCTTTCCTTCTCCAATTCTGAGGGTTTGGGGCTTCTCGTTGTCACAAGCGTCGGGTGACACAAGCAAACCATATTTGTCTCCCGACCGCTTGCTTCTCCTTTCCAGTGCCAGTGAACAAGTCCTAAAGCATCAGTTCCGCCCTTCTGTGCCGCTCCAGTCGCTGGAAGTTTGCTCGCTGATCATCCACCAACACGATGCCTTGGAGCATGAGGTCGGCGAGGTTCTGCACAGGGAGAATGTTGCCATGAAATTGCACGCGCGACGACACTTTCGACGCAGCTGAAACAAAGGGTTAGCATACTTCATCATACGTCCCTTACACGTGCCCAACTTGGAAGACTGGCATCAGGTCATCAGGATGATGGGGTAGCTCTCCAGGGGCTACTCTTTGCAAGGGGCCCAGGGACCCTTCTGCCCACTAGAAATAGACCCCCGTACGCGGTCCGTCCACTCGTCAGGCTTCTCTCGAATCTGCGGCAGAAAGTCCTTTGTCAGGGTTTGTACATTCGCATGTTTTGGTACGGTGGCACTGAAGGTCTTGACATTTTCGCCTCCATGCGATTACCCTTAAGCCGAGAATTCACTGCATGTTCGTTGAATCGCATAACACAACCTCTGACACTACCAATCCTGAGTAATTACCAATTCTACAATGTCCGTGTGTCCTTGTTTCAGCATATTTGGAGTCCGATGACTCCGTGTATTTCTGTGCTGTAGCCCGCTCGGAAGCAGACTGCAAGTGTGAGACATGCGTGTGTCTGTGCCTGCCCGTGCCTTGAGCGCAAGATACTGCGTGCGTGCGTGTGCCGTGTGCGTGCTTGCCTGGGTGGGCGCGTGCGCGTGCGCGTGCGCGTGCGCGTGTGCGTGCGCGCGTGGGTGTGTTGGTGTGTGTGTGTGTGTGTACCACGATGCTTTTCCCGACGCGACAATCTGCCGCGAAATCCCGATGCTTCGTCCGCCGAGATGCTGCCGGCCGCTGTGCCACTAAAGCCAATCTTAGCCGCTCAAAAGGCTTGCGGAACTTGAAAATGCAACGCTTCTGTTGGGCCAGAGCTGGTAATAGATTGCGACACCCCATGCAATTTGTAGAACTTAAACTGCCAGAAATTGATCCACCCACCTTCCCCAAATGTCTAAGCTCCCAGCAGGTCGGCCTTGTGTGTGACATCCCTGAGACAGTGCTGGCTTGCAGCTTCTATGCAGCTTCCATGGGTCTATGATGCTCGAGTGTCAGAACTTGGCCATGCAAACTGATGCAACTCCGAGACATGCACGAACTTCTGCATCCCATGTACTGTAAGCGGCGGTCTGTGTGCAGCTCGGGTGCTGAAGAGACAAAGTGATCGGGGGCCACTCCTCACCTGAAGGACCCTCACAAAGGCCCAGGATGTTCGTGTTCCAACTTTAGAAGATTGGCCGACCTCCTCTGACCGAGCTAAGCATTGACATAGTTGTAGGAGGGCCCGACATGAGGTTGACTCGGAGGCTGCGCCCTCTCTACACACTGCGATATACGACCGTAGTTTCAAGCACAAGCACGCGACATTTACATTGCAGTGAACTGTAAGGACTGTCTTGGAGCCCACCTTCTCGATAAATCCCAGAGAACTCTGCATGCGAGGGCAAGGCCCAGATGGCGTCGAAACACCTCATCTTCATTCATCTGCATCTCCCGGCATTGCACAAGCATTCCGGGCCGAGGCGGTTGGAAAAGCTGCTATTTCCTGTATTGTTGGCCTCCTATACTCGAACTCCGTATACCTGCTCATACACCACACAGGTACAGTTTCTGATGTCAGAGCTGTTGCTTGCAAAAAAGGGGGGGGGAGGGCCGGGGTGCTTGTATTGAGGTCTCCCAACCTTCTCGCTTTGGCCGGAATGCTCCGAGAGTTCTGCTGCGCGTAGCAGCGTGAGGACGGAGTTTGCACCGGCGTTGTTCTTCCTCAGCTTCAAACTGTCGGAACCAGTCGTGAAAAACCGCATTGTCGTGGCACTTCTCGAGACACATCTAGCAAACTCCCCCGAGCCTGGAAGTCGAAATCCGCTAAGGAGTGTGTAACAACTCACCTGCCGAATGGACCGGAAAATGCAGCTCAGGCTCGTAAGTACGGTCACAGCCCGCCGTGAACCATTGCGAGAGAAGCGCAGCTCGGAGAGCATACCTTAAGTGGTGACCGGGTCTGACTGCCCTAAGCTTTGCTCGCGTGCTAATTGGCTCACCCGCAGGGGGGGGGTTTACTTCTTCTGCAAGCTTTTCATGGCAAGAGTCACACATATCCCAATATCTTTTAGACGTGATTCCACAGTACAGCCCTGCTAGTCCCTGGTCACCAAGGAACTCTTGAGGTTGGCGATGCGGCTCCTCGGCAGCAAGTGCTCCCACTTCCCGAGCGTTTCATGGTCTCCACATGCAGAGCAGCGAGAAGACTCTTTGCACGTTAAAGAGCTGCCGACCCAAGTTTGGGATCGAACCGAGTCTTCTGGAAGACATCAAGACAGACTGGTTATAGCTAGTTTTGCTCTTGGGACGAAGTGCCCTTTCACCCATGGCGACTGGAAGTTCGTCTTCACAATTTCTCGCCTCAGGTGGCCGCAGGCACCAGTGCAACACGACATGCGCCATGTCTGCCGAGGTGGTTCAGAGACAGTGCACAAGCAAGAGGTGGATCTGCTTGACCGAAACATGCTTGAAACGCATCCCCACTTCAAGAAAGGCCAGCTGACTGGACCCCAAAGCTCCTGAGTCCCTCTCCCGCCAGTTATCGTACGCTAAGAGGCTGCATCTCCGGCGTATCACCTTCCTCGCGGCTTCCAGGGCCAGTATGCGGAAGAACATCACGAGCACGTGGAAACAAAGCAGGGAAAACACCGAAGCTGCGGGGCAACGTGGGGCACGGGGCGCTGCGGGGCCCAAGGCTCCAAGATTCCCTGAAGGCAGCTTTGCTCCAGTTCACGTAAGCCGAACTTCGGACTGCAGGCACAAGACTTTGTGATGCTTGCAGTTGTTGGGTTCTTGGCCGTGTAATTGCAATCCTCGATGATGTAGGTGATCAACGTGAGGGTCTCATCGAAGTCGAAAACCACAAGCTTCACCTGTGGGGTCGAGATGCAATAAGCGCTGCCGGCTTTCAACCAGCAAGCGAAGGCATGGCTGAAATTTGATTCACTTCTCTCTAGATGCTCCGAAAACCCGACAATTGCACATATCTCTATATATATATATGTGACTATATGTGCATATGCTGTATTTCAAGAGAAGTCTCTGCGCGACAGGCGACTGGAAAGCCATCGCTTGGACCCCGCAGGCTGCGCTGCGAGCAGGAGCCTGTTTGCTGCAGATGCGTTGAAGTGGTCGGAATGGTCGGAAGATGTATGCAAAAAGGTGCAGCAATGTGTGTAGTTCTGACATATGCTATCTTCAAGCAGCTGTCATGGCAGATAATATGGCACAAGACTGCACGAAGGATTTCAACAGCGTCCGTGCCAGACCGAGCCGCATTTGAAGGCCGCGCGGGAGCTGGACCTTCTTGGCGAGCAGGGCCTTGGTGCGAAGACAGGGCATGTGATTCTTTCGTTGATGTCCAGTAGCCATACTCACATTTGCCGCAATCATGACGATGCGTAGAGAACCCGAAGGTCTCCACGTAGATCCTGTAAATCGCCGGCAAGAATGTTCGAAGGAAATCTTTCCTGGATTGAATCTAGCCCGCTTCAGCAGTCATCGTAGGCTTCCAGTTCATCCCTCCGTAGACTAGAGTGCGAGAGGGGCCACCAACAAATCTTGAACCCTCTCCAGGCCGTGGTACGGGGACGATGGTGGACTCTCCTTCGTGGCCATAACTACATGGCACTTGCGTGGCCTGCAGCAGATACAGCGGAACAGTCGCGATACCAAACGATGCGGCGAATGTGTGACCATCATGCCCACTGAACCCCGACTCTGCCACTTGTGGAGCAATCTTGAGGTTTTGAACCCTGGCCTGCCATGGGGCCTAGAAGATCACATGCTGCAACCCGCATGCGTCAGTAGCCCAGGGAGCCCTAAATGAAGCTTGCTTGTGCGAGGCCCTGTATCTGCAAGGCCTCGGGGTGTAGCTACGTCATGTTGCGGTGTGAATCAGATGAATTAGCCTGTCCTTGGATGCCTCTGAGAAAGGCTGCGTATCACCAAAGCACCATGTCAAAGTCAGGTTGCAGCTCAGAATGCAAACCCACGCGCAGCTTGCAGGCCACCGGCCTTTTCTATGGCCATCAATAATATCTCCCACGTCCTCTTCAGGGTTCGATGCCCCCAGCCTGCCTGGTCATGTATGCCAAAGGCTTTGGCATCGAACCCTTGTTCCTAACACATCTAGTGAGTGAGGGCCGAAAGCTACCGAAGCTCAACCTGCTGCAGTTGCAGGATATTGCAGGATGTTACCGGGCCTTGCGCAAGTGAGATGCATCTTCCTTGCCTTAAGAGTGAACTTCATGGAGAACACTGCAGAGGGAGAGCTCGTGATGCCACCGGTTGCCGGGACATCATGTGAAACACTTCCCGCTGTTGGTGATACTCTAGAGTAATCCCCCCGTGCACACTCTCCTGCATGGCGAGGGGCTTGGTGGAGAGAAACCTGCTCTGCTGCTCCTTTGCGCAGCTGCAGCTCGCGATCTAGCTGAGCTGCGTTCTACAGATAACTGAGTGCGGTGGTCCTTGCGGGCATATCCAACAATGATAGCAAAACAGTATGGCAACGAAGCTTTGCATGTTGGGAAAAGCCAAAACCCCAAGTAAAGACTCGTAGCCATGAGCTATACGCGTCTTGAGCCACGGCCCCAAAGGGAACCCTGGCATACAGTGCCCTCCACCACACCGTGCTCTAGCGGCTTGCCTCAGGGCTCCTGTGATGAGATAACAGGGACCAATGGGTTTGTTAGAGCATGTGGTCCAAGACATGTGAGGTCGTGACATGCTCTGGTGGATCTACTCGTCCTTCTGGTACTTGCCGCGCAAACGATCATCGCAAGAGGCTCTTCACCCCTTTAGCACACGTTTTGGACAAACAAGCCGCGCTGAGTGGAACGTTTCAGGAAGCGCAACCCCACTGGAATGAATGGCTAGTACTGCACCTCATAATTAATGAACGACACATCCCAAAGTCAAGCCGCGGGCATCAAGTGTTCACTACCAACCCCGCGTCAGACTCTTGGGTTGCCCCCCACCAACACTCCCCACTCCTTGCGAGTCTGGCAACAGCAACGTGGCTAAGTAGGCTACGTGGCCCATGAAAAAGACGGGCTAAACGACCTTGTACCAACTATCATCATGTTCGCTTTTCTGGCATCTTGCTGTTGCCGCAAATTATCGATGGTGGCATACATTTCCTACAGCAAAGCCTTCGCCTTCGCTTCATAAGCGACTGTACCCCTAGTGCCCATTTGCGCTTGCGACCCTGTAGATCTTCAGCACCAGTTGCATCATTACTGGCGTTAGCATCCCCACTATTCCCGGTTCTTAGGCCAGATGGACCTTGAGCCCTCGGGGTTGACCCTTGGAGCTTGCCTGTCAGTCGGTCGTGAGGAAGTTCTTTTGTGAAGCATTGAGCGTCTGGTAGTGTCTGCCCTCCTGGCTGTCGAGGTGATGGCTTCGTGATAGAATTGACACGTTGCCTTCTTGGCCGAGCGCAGTTGGTTTTCTTGAGGTTTTGGGCACAAACAGCGGAAGTCACTGAACTAGTGCAAGCTTTTCTTTGCCTGCATGGGTGTGAGCTTCACCGTGCTGTTTCGCAGAGGAACACCTGGTAGCAAGACTAGACTGGGCTCCGGATAGGCTTTCGACACTCGCACTCGCTAACGCAGGCAAGGGTAGGCTTTGGGATTAAAGACATACTGAAGATTAAAAGTTCTCACTGTTGTGGACGGAATCGGACGGATGCATCAGACCGGCTGTTTGCTGTTCGGTTCAAAAGCTAAGCTACCAGCATCCAGTGCCTTCTGCCAGGCTCATGTTCCTCAGGCTTGCAGCTATGAGTTTCTTCTGCATCACAGTCAAGTAAACCGCGTGGGAACTTCATTCACATTACATTTCACCCCACATGCCGAATCTAGGTTGCTGGGAGCGGCACCCCGGCGAACCGTTCCAGCCAAGGCCGACGGGGTGGCTGGGTGCCTGTCAATGTTGTGTGGCTGCCAATGGAAATATTTCGCGCGCAGGATTGTGCCTATTCTGTGCACGAAGCACTCCGCACAACTGCCCAGCGGAGCATGAATACAGGCTTTTCAAACCATTTCAAGATTCAAGACCTGCCCTCAAGTGCCCTCATGTCATCTCATGCCCCCTGAGTCGAGTGCTCCAAGATTCGAGTGGAACTGTCGTTGCTTCGTCACGTGGCCGCTCACCGACTGGCAGCAGCTTTGAAACATACGATGTCACCGGATGCTCTTATATGCGTACAAGCAGCATCCGAACAGGCACATGCCCTAACAAGCTAGGCTAAGCGTGGATGAGGCTCATTGGCATGCCTTCGAACCATCTCCGATCTCTGCAGCTCGCAGCTACAAAGAATCTGGGTGCCCTGCAACACGACAGGTGGTTCGAGCCTGGCATAGAAGCATCATTAGCATCATCTTCAACTGGCACGACAGGAGTCCCGGCCACAACCCATCCGCGTCTTTAGGTTGATGCGTCGAGAGGATGGGCCGCCTTTGTAACGGACGCTCCACAGTGGCCCCTGTGGAATTTAGCCGTGCCCATTGACAGGGGCCCTGCAGCTGGCATGCCAATGAACATTTTTTGAATGAATGAGAGAGCTCGGGTGGACACTTTTGTCGCTGCTGCGCAGCTGGGTCCAATCGAGTTAAGCAGAGTACTGTGCGCCTCTTTGGCAGCACCTTGGTTGCCTGCCGCGTGACCGTGCACAGCAGGGCTTTCAGAGGCATGGGTTGGAAACGCGCAAGGGTGCGTCAGAATATCAATCCCATGCGTCCCACGAAGGCGCTTGAAAGCACAGTGCACTCCTCAAAGTTGGGACGATATATTAGGGCCCTTGCGACATGGAATCTTCTTCAGATGTCATCTTCGGCTCAGCCACAAGCCCATCAGGACAGCCAGCAATGCCACAAAGCACGCAATCAGGAGATTCCGATTGGAAGTGGGCGTGTCGATGGGCATCATGGGAGGTGGCCTCAAAACACCCGTCTAGACCTCCTCCTGCCTTGCTGGGGGTGAAGCCAAAGCTCAATGAGCCGCTTTGTTTGGGCATTGACCATCGAAACATGCACTGCGCCTGTCTCTAAGCTTTCTGCTGGCTGATACCAGGCATGACTAGAATCATGTGCAGCTAGGTGTCCCCTCCGGTGCATCAGGCGCCACTGGCACGGGCCGAGCAGGAGGCTCTGCCTCATCCTCACCAGCCTGGCAACGTCCAGCTCAGAAGGTTGGTTTGGAGGGGTTTCGATGAGGACTCTGGGCAGTCTGTCTCTTGAGATTCCCAAGATTTAGGGCCGCTTTTCCCGAGTGGACACCACATCGTGTAGCAGTAGGACAAAACCACACTTCCATTGCAGCTGCCTGCTTCTTCCTCTCCTTCTCAGCTTTGACTTTTGCCTCGAACTCCTCCCAGCGCCTCTGAAGCGACAACTCTGATGTAAGCTTTGGAACACTGCTGAGCCGGCACGGCCCAAGACCCGCCCTTTAGCTATGGTGCTGTGCTGTACTATGCGATCTTGTCTGCTTTTGGAAAGCGGCACAGTGCCACTCTATTCAATCTATTCAATTCGACTGTCATGTGGCGCAAGGATGAGCTACATGGTTGTCCTTGGTGCATCTGATCTATCCTGCCATCCAGCAACCTTCCGCAACTCCAAAAAGATTGAAGGCCATCCACCCGATCTCACTCAAGCCAAGAGCACTTCTTCTGCTGGAAGTTGATTTTGCCAGCTTCGGAAAGGACCAGGGAAAGTGTCAGGCGCTTGCCCCTGGAAGGAGCGAAGGGCTCAGGGGACTCCTGGAGTCCCAAAACCATTGAGGGAAACAATCCATGGAAAACGTGCTGGCAGGCTGTTCCCAAGTCTTCAAACCAATGCAAGCATAGCAGCTTCGACAGCCGCCAGGAGGAAGCCTGACGTTTCTTCGCAAAGGCTAGGGCGATTGGCCATTTCAAGAATTGGACGGGTGAGAATCTGCAAAAGATCATGGGCCAACTGTCAATTTGCATGGGAGTTGGGGGTCATCATAACAAAACACCAACAAAATAAACCACAGCCATCAATGCAACTCCAAAGAACACTACCAACCGCAAATTCAAAGGAACACCTCCATTTCCCTCCGTATCTTAATATGAAGCCGGCAGCCAGTCGGTCGGTTGATCTGTACTTCCTCCATATTCTAGAAAAAACAATTCGTTTCCTCTCAACGTTCGCCGAAAAACCTCTCTGTTTCTAAAGCCTTGATGTCTCACACACCGGAAAACCTCGCTTCCTTTTGGTTTTCCCCAGCTATTATTTCTCGGCATCTTAAGAAGACGCTTGCAAAAGTTCAATTGCAATTCTGCTAGGGGAAACCTATATGACCCAGCATGTGAAAAGAAAGCCTCCGCTACACACGCTACATTTTCATAGCGAAACCTCTATTTTTCTCTCGGTTCAAGTAGTCCATGTCCTCTAGGGTGTATTTCCAGAAGCTGCAGAAATCCCCAAGAAGCCAGGAAGGGCTCCTCGCAAGCCCCAACAGCCTTTGTTGATGGTGACTAGTTTGTTTGGGGAATCCCTCGTTCGGCTGCTTCTACCCCCGCCCCCCCTCCCGGCAACCTGGCAAAAGTGCAAAGGACAAGAGCTGTCAAAAACCATCTGCCTCTGGATCGATGACCCCGCAGTCCACGGGGCCAAGGACCAGGGAGGGCCTCAAGGTTTTCAAGCTCTGTGACACATGTCGCTTTGCCTGCTGTGCCTTATGTTTCTTGCCCTCAATCTACACATTGTATACCTGGCATCTTCATCTACGAGGCCACTTGGCCACTTTTGGTTTCGTGAGTCTTAAGCGAGCTGTAGCTGGGGAAAGGAGTGTTGGAGCCGAGAGATGCCAAATCTTCGGCACAGTTGGTATGGAAGGTCGGCTGGGCTCTGGCTGGGCGCTTCAGAAGTATCTAGATAGGTTGAGGCCTGGGGTCTGGGGCAAGAATCGACTGTCTTTGCACTTGTTGGAGACTTCTTGCAGCCTGAGAAGCGATGCAGTGATTCGCACCGTGTAGGTACTCATGCTGAACCTGGCCAGCATTTGTAGACTCTTAACCCAAGGGACCCTACTCAACGTGAAGAACGTGGTGGGTCATGCTTGTATGCCAAGTTGCGTCACGTGAATACTCTCCTGGCTTGCATTGGCCACATCTGGATCATCGATGTACACCTCCGCTTGGCAGGGGAAGCACCGGGATATGGCGGCTGTCGTGCGATAACTGCCAGCAAGTTGCAGGCTTATGAGACTCATGGGTTCTAGTAAATCTAGTCTGGTCGAGGCAATCATGTCAGCTCTTGCCCTCTCCACGCCCTCGGCGTGGCACTTTTCGTGGTAGTCTTCATCAGCAACGACTTGAAGCAGCTCCTTGCCTTGACGACTCCTTTGTCGTCCGGTTCCGCGGTCATGTATCTTGTGATTCCTTGCGTTGGCACGTTGGCACGTTGGCCACGTGCATAGTGCTACATGACTTCTGGAGGCAGCCCTTCACACTAACCATCGTGAAGAGCGGCTTGCATAGTGAAACATGATCAAGTCCAGTGCATCTCGGTCTCTATAACAAGGGGCCAGGGGGCAGCTCTCTGTAGTGGTGCTCATGAAAGATGTTGTCAGGTACCAAGACAATGTACTTTCTGAACAGGCTCGCTTTTCTGTGATCTTGGCCTCGAGGTTGGGGCTGTTGCCGGCAACTTTCTTAGGGGCATCGTCCTGCAGTGGGTACGGTTGAATCCTCAACAATGAGTCATCATGAGTCATCATGAGTCATGATGAGTCATCATGAGTCATTCTCCGCATCGTGCCGAATTGCCACGTGTGCTCTGTCATGCTCCAAGCCGAGGGGTGCTGGGAGGTTTTCAGTCCTGCGCAAACTGGTTGTCCCATTCTCGCCTTGGAGCGGAGCAGCGGCTTCCGTGTGCCAGTTTGGGCGATGCTCAAGTACTGAAGGACTCAAGAATCAAGAGCCGAGCTTCGTGGGAACCTTGTAAGATAAATCTCCAGCTTCCTGCAGCAGTTGTTCGTCTTCCCGCGTGTCCTTAGCCAACCAACTCACGTCTGTTAACCTTGCATGCTTCCTAGCTGTGGTTTGAGTGCCGAGTTCGACCCCTACGTCGCGAACTCCAGTGAGGTCTGGGCTCTACGTAGCTCGAAAAACTATGGGTCGCCTTGCCTCTTCATCAAGCTCAGCTTGAAGCTTGGCTTGCTCCTGCCGAGCTGGTTGAGTGGAAGCTCCACGATGAAGCCAGCGCTAGTTGAGATGTCGGAGAAGGCAGTGGACTCTTTTCGTGGTGTTCATTGGTACCTTCAGTATCTTTTATATGCAAGATGCCCAACTTGGAAATGTGCGAATTCTGGTATGCTTTGGTCCATATAGGAACCTCAACTACCTTGTGAGTTTCGGCGTCCTGCTTTCTCTTGTCCTCATCCTGCTTGCGCATCTGTTTCTGGATCTGGCTGCAGCTATCCTTGGCCCACGCCACGAGTCTCTCTGCAAAGCTGCAAAGTGACACATGCTGAAACAACGTCCATCACATCAAGCTGGCAAGTATGTATGGTTGCAACTTGGCCATGCATCCTTCATGGAAGACATGTTCAGGAAGGACAAGTCGATCACTGGCTCATACCTCTCAGTTGCATTCCGGCTCTTGCCGGGGGTGTTCATCAAGGCATGCAAGGCAAGTCTCGAACCCAACAAGGGCCGAAACCAAGCTCCAAGCTGTAAACGACGACTGTGCCTAACCCCAAGCCATAGCTCCTCCAGTCTAGGGCAAGCCTGCCAAATCAAAAACTAAGTCGACTGTGGCCAAGCGCCTCCGATGCCCTAGAATGCACAAACGGTTTTGGGGGAACACCGGGGCCCTTAAAGAAAACGCAATGCTTGTTTGATGACGTGCACGAGAAGAAGCTCCTCAAATTATGAATAGAATGAGCAATGGAAACACTGAGCTCCCGTCCGGCCCCGTTCATCCAGTGTGTAGCCTTCCGAGATCAGCTGCTCAAGCTGCCTCAACATTCGCGCACGCATTCTCAGCGCCCTGAGACAAGCTGGGGAAACTCATAGTCGAACCCGGAGAAAACTGCAGAGATTGAAGAAGAACTACTTTCGAAATTTATTTCGCAGGCAAGCGGTTGCAGCCACGCAACAGCCGTGACTCGACCATCTCCTCCCGGTGGGGCCACGGGGTATGATGGAGTGCTGGGATTGTGGAGATGTACGCCTTGAGTCGGGAGGTGATCAGTGAGTCCAGCAATGTGTGCTTCTCCCCACTCCTTGCCCAGGAGCCCCAGCTGTTTGCCTTCATCCAGGACCTGACAACACTCCGCTCTGGAGTAGTCTGGACAAGCTGAAGCTCAACCTCCACTGTTAACCCACGTTGCGATGGCCGAACCTACTCAATCCGCTCCTGCCTTGTCGTTGATGATCAAATCCTGGGTCAAGATCAGCTCCTTGGAGAGTTTTGGATCAAGGCAGTCTAAGATACAGTAGCCCCAGCTTGGCCCAGAGGCCTTCATGACCTGTGTCAAAACGCCTCGAGATTCAACGAAGTTGAAAACAAAGACGTTAAACGAGCAATGCGTGTATGGCATCGGCTGAGGGTCAGGTGTGAGCGCATCCATGATCAGCTTAAGGTCCTTGGCTCTTGGCAACCGGTTCCAGTTCAGCTGAAGATTCTCTTGTTTGCTTGGGACACATCTGGCCTCGCCGCCTGCAAAAGAAAGCTCAGTCTATCAAAGCCCACGGCGAGCCTAAGTACAAGTCAAAACAACATCTCCAGTGTAGGCATGGATCTTACAGTGCCCCTTCTCTCGTCAGCTCCAGGGTTGCAAACTTTAGCCTGTATGCTCTATCGCCCATGCCCACCCAGGCCAAGTTGCATTTGCTGTGCGTACTTTGACGCACACCACACCAAAGGAGGAAGCATCCAACATAGCTCTTCAGACTTCTTCTTTATTCGGAGTTCCCTCCCTCTTTTGCGTCCAACAAGTTCCTGTGCGACTGCTTGCAGTTGCTTTTGCTAGTGGCTGCAGTCTACTTGCATTCTTTGGGGAAGTGAGGGATATGTTGCTCTGGCTCAAACCTTACACTAGCCAGCGCCACTCCGAATTTGCTGACTTCTTCTCCAGCTACCTGGTGATGGCGCATTTGCCGCCAAGTTTGTTCATCCTGCTCTTTCGGCTGCAGCAGTAGCAGCTGCAGAAAAGGTACGAGTAGGCCACAGCAGGACCAAACAAGTCGAAAGCATTCCAGACACTGGAAAGGCATTTGGGCTCTGTCCATGCTCTCTCAAAGTAATTCTGCGGACATCGTGTCGCTTCTGCCTCTATGATGGGCTTGGCTGCAGGAATGAGCTTCTCGTCGGAAGGGGCGGTCTCCCCAACCACCAGGATCTGGCACAGATTCTTTCACACAGTGACAGTTGCCATGTCCAGGTGGTCTGTTTTGCTTTGTTGCCTGCTGGGCCTAGCGTCTCTGGAGTCTAGCACCATTCCCTGCACTCTCAGCTTCATGTCCTTCATAAACTTGCTGGCCTGGGCCGGCAATGCCTTCAATGAAAACTCCGCGAAACGCAGGCCATGGCTGTTGATGATGTACTTGCCTCCATTCCGGAGAATTCAAAGGCATGTTTTCGTACTCTGCCATACCTCGAGGATCTTGGAACTGATGCTTGGAGCCGGGCTGTACTTCTTGGTCCAGTCAATGCCTGGGGGCTCAAAGCTCACAGCCTGATGCGGTGTGATGCTCGTGGTACTCGTGTGGTCTGATCTCAGTGCCCTACCGAAAGGCGAGGTCGAACCAAGTCTGTTGGTCTCCGGCAGCTCCAGGCCTAAGCACTGTGATGTGCCGCGATGGAGCCTCGCCCACAAAACGGCCACAGCCGCCATCACCGTGCGCACGGCTGTGCTCGTTGTTGACGAAGACGCGAACACGGCCTTTCCAGGAATGGATGGACGGGACTAACGGAATGAGTACTGCAGTACCGTGCCAAAACGAACGGCTCCTGAAATACATCAGCTTCCTTCTCTAAACACTTCGGATGTTGGCTACCATTGGCTACCCGTCCAGACTTGTGACAAGATGTCGAGGGAAGCGGTGAGGCATGGTGACATGCCATTGAATGCCATGAATGTACCATGAATGTGCCATGAATATCAAGGGCAGCGTGCCAGAGCCCTGGAAGCTGACCACCAGGTTGCCGTGGATGATTCCCAGCCTTCGCAGTGCACTGGACATCAGCAATTCTGACGGGAGACTGGAAGTCGGACAGGGTGCCGAGGATCAAACACCTGAATGTTCCGGATCTCGCCTGTGACATGGCGATAGTCTACTTGCAGCTGTTGTGAATGCCAAGGACCCAGGTTATAACTCCCAGTAGCGCATGGAGACACAAGTTGCTCAAGTGAAGCAGGGGTATAGTGCTGCTCAACACCCTCGCACTTCTGCACCCTTGCAATGTCCTGAAGTCTTGGCGTGGTTCACCTGCAGCCACTCGGTCCTCACGGTACAGATGTGCACAGTATGAATGTCAGCTTTGGTGGACGAGGCCCATGTGGACCCGGTGCTGCCAACTGAAAGTTACCCATTAGTTCATGGAACTCTGCTCTTAAGTCTGAAATGCCGGGTGCTACCGCAGTATGCCGTCCGTATGCCAACAGCAACTATGCAAAACCAAAGCGTCAGGATACTCCGTGACTCTGCCACTGGCGATCATCGGCATCAATCATCCAAGCTGCCCGGCCTTGTTCGCGAGCGTGTCCTGGAAAGACGTCTTTTTGCTTAAAAGCAGAAGCTGAAAGCAGGGTCTCCCACGTTGCGGAAGAGACGGCTCACAAATGGCCAGTATCTAAGCTCAGCATAGCTCAGCTTCGGACGAGAGCTCCAATGAAGGATGCCTAGGAAGCTCCTTCCTCGGCTCAAACTCTTCGGACCGGTGGCATATGATGGCCCATTAGAAGCCTGGATTAGGACTCACATGACTCACGCCGAGGGCAACAAAGTACTCTAAGAAGTTCAACTTGAGTGCTTCGTGAGTGTCGACTTGCAGTATCATTGAACTGAGGCACATCATAGCACATCATAGTACAGGAAACGTGCTGAGGGCCAGGCGGGGATGATGTCCGGCTTCGAGGCGGCATGGACGTGGTACGGTAGACATGGCCTGCGAGAGCCTAGAACCCCGGATTTGAGAATATCATTTGAGTGTCCGTGACATGGTGCTGTTGCGACCCGCCTTGTGCCAAATGCGATGTGCTCATAATCGACGGTAAGAGCGTCATGACTGCACCTCAGGATGAGCCAAACGGTCTATGACCAAAAACAAAGGTTGGGCTAAGGTTGGGGTGGGATGAGCCCGAACATTTGGTCTTCTTTCATCGATTTCTCCATGGTGTGGCAGACCTAGAAACTCAGCCGGCCGATCTCTTTGGCCCCTTTGAGGCAAAGCTCTAAAACGAGATAAAGCTCTCCGACCTAACTACGGAACACGCCTGCTCCCGAATCCGACTCTGGCGTTTCCGACTGACATGGCTTCGCTTTGCGAGGCCGCTAAATGCCGCGGCTGATGCCTGGCTGAAGCGATGTGGATGAGGATACGGCTCCCGGCAAGAGATTCTCGAAGCCCCCGCCTCCCCAAACACAATGCAACGAAGTCCTTGCCTTATCCCCATGGGGTGCTTCAATCACAGCGTGTGGAGCGGCAATGAGAAGATTCCTATGCATCCTACATCCTGGATGGAGATGCACGGGCAGCCTCCAAAACTGCAAACGCTTTTAGCTGAGGCCCTTGGGCTTTGCTTCAAACATCGGATTTGTGCCTTGGGGGCCAGGCATGGTTCTAGGACAGAACCCTGCCGCCACATCCAAGAGCAATAAGTAGGCCCGTAGGCTACTTTCGAAAACGGGCTGCCCGCCGAATCCCTCCCTGAAACATGTTTCAACAAGTGAAACGAGCGCGCCTGTGTTTCAGCATTGCAGCATCATCATATCACCTGATCGGGACCTGGCATAGGGCGCTTGATCACAAAAACAGTTCCTTGACAAGTCGCATCTGCATTGAGAGAAATTTGTGAACAAACTTCTCCAAGGATTGTTGTGGCGATACGTGGCGATGAGGGCTCTCGAGAAGGAAAACTATACTCAAGTGCGCTTGCTTGCCTTGCACCCGGCTAGCAGCTCTGCCTATGTGACAACGTGTGATTCCAAGCAGCAGCAAGGCAAGCTTGCTTGCCTGACACAGAATATGATATCGCTCTATGTTGATAAGGCTCGCGCTAGACACTTGAAGCAGTAAACCTGCCCTGAGCCGACAGAAACCCGGCACCTTTCAGCCGCGGCGGCGTCTTGGGCGACCCCCGCCTTCGGCAGGCTTCGGGTCACCTTCCGAGCTAGGTGTGAGAAGGTGACACAGCTCCGTTCGGGACATCATTGCAAGCTTGGTCTGTTGTTGCACATTCAGTAGGAGCTCAGGGTTCCTCGTTCGCTCCGTAGTCGTCTTCCGGAGTTTGCCGGTGCAAGCTTACGGCATGGTGACCAAAACCATGAGCTGCCCATCGAGTCAGGTTGCTGTTTCCGAAAATGTCAAGGTCGCCGAAGGGGTCGGCGTGCCGGTCCGGCTGTGCCGTCCTCAGTACTCTGTCGAGGGCTCAGAGGTTCCAGCGGTTCCAGCTGCAGGATGCGTGAAGCTTCTGCTTCGGCAGAAAAGGTTTTGCTTGCGCTTGCTTTGCAAAAATACATGGTTGATGCATGTGGTAGGCAGCTGCTCGGAGTCTCCGAATGCTGTTGTTCGCTGGCGCTGCCGCGATGCTGGGCACGAAGCCGTGGGTGAAATCATACAAGCTTTACGCGGCGAACGTACGACTGAGTTTCCAATTACGTTCGAGGTGATGATGCAAACGACGCTTCTTCTTTCACCTAACAATTGCGGAGTTTCGCCGATGCAAATAGCGACCTTCACATCACCACCCTACAGAGCCAAGAATCGTCGCCGTGGCAGAGCTTTGCGACTCCTGTGCAGTTGGCGCTGCTTGCGGAGCGCTGGCTTCTTTCCCTGGCAGGAGGTGCTGTGAAGAGGGAGTGCCACCGATGCTCGAAAGCATGTCTGTCACTCGTTCACTTGCAAAAGAAAGCAACGTACACTCAAAAGCCTTCTAGAGTATGAGGAAAGCAGAGTGCAAATTCACCAGGAAACCTATACGCTCAAAAGCCTTCTCAGAGTGTCAGGGCGATATGTCTCCAGCCTTGCTCTGCATGGGTACCGACCAAGTCGAGATCGCCGAATGGGTCCGCGTGGCGGCCGGTGCGAGCTTTCCTCTGAACTTCGCCATTTTTGCCAAAGTAATTTCGGGCTCTTTACAATTTGCAAGTTCTGATGCCCAGAGCTTCGAGGCAGGCACTAAGTAACCCCGTGCATCTTAAGTCCTATTTGTCTGCCACATGTAAGAACTTGGGAACAAGAAAAATATTCTTACACGAGGCAATACGAGTTTCTGGACGCGGCGTTGCAACCCCAGTCCCTTGACCCAAACTAAATCTCCTCCCTAAGTCTGGAGTGGTGGGAAGATCGCAGGGGCGGTGGGGGGAGGGGGATGTGGTTTCACTCATCCCAAGCACAATTGGCGCACAGGTAAAGACTTCCCTGCTACGCTACGCCACACCCTGAGAGAGCACGAGCGTCTCGTTGGTGACGTTGGTGACGGGTACGGCAGCCGCTGTGGAGCCGATGTCTGATCGGGGGATCGGGTCATGAAAGTGGTGTGTTTCTTCGCCAGGTGACTCTCGACTTGTGCTGAATCAAATGTGAGAAGAATCAGCCTAACACAGGGGACCGGGACTTGCCGATAGCCTGCGCCACGGTTGCCGAAGACGTCGAGATCACCAAAGGGATCTGCATGCCGCTCGTTTTTGAAAGTCCTCGTTCCGATTCCACGACGTTCGAGGCTTCGGATGACGTTTCGCTGATTCTACCTTCACATGGTGTTGTGCTTTATAAGTACGAGCCGGCATGATGTAACTCTAGGGAGGGGAAAGGAGTTGGGGCTGCCCATCCTTCTCGAATTCACAAACACATCGCTGCTCTGCGCATGCGGCGCGAGATTCAAGTTGGGTTGCGATGTACAGCTAGACCGTGGGAGCAGCTTTGCCGCAGACCCTTCAAATCCCCAACTGCGCTCCCATGCACCTCCCTCTTCGCATCGCAGCCAAGCCACCCCGGTGCTGCTGCGTTCTGTGCTGGTGCAGGAGCTGTCGTGCTCGGCGCAAGTTCTGGACAAGCGGCTGCGCACGCCAAACTGAGAACATCTGCTCTTCCGAAGGATGTCTAGTCCCCTTGCCTACACTTTGCATAAGTTACATCGTCCTACAATCGAACACTTGCTGGCCTGGGCCGACAATGGCAACGTCTGCCTCTTGGCCCTGCAGGCACCAGCAATGACTGGGCGACAATTTTATGTCAGCGCTCTAGCTTGCTCAGGCAGTACGCTTCGCTGCAAAGGCAGTGTTTAGGGTCCGCTTTTGCAACGATTTGCCACGCTTGCCTGGAAGCTTTGTTAGGCAGACCCAGGGATGGCGCATGGTGGCCGTTGTTTGTGCTGAACGGGCAGCATCACATTATAAATAAGTTTCAGGCTTCTGCCCTTAGATGATGCAGTAATAGTGTGGCAGGGGTGGTATAGATTATAGATATGTGGTCTGTGACATTGTGGGGCTGTACCGTGTGTCGCGAAACATGCTGGTTTTTTTAGTCTGGTACGGAAACCTACTCGGTCACCCTAATTTAACAAGATTCCCCCCCTCGCAGTCTTCTTATCTCGAGCAGGCGGCTCCGATTTGTTTCGTGGCCACCGACGCTTTTGCTGGATGAAACGGGAATGCCTCAAAAGTATCCATAGTTGCAGTGTTTCCTGGCTTTGTCAACAACCTTGTGTTTTACGATGTTTCTGCGGATGCTATCATCCGTGCCCGATGGGTGGGTTGGCCGGTTGTGAGTCATCACGTCCGCCGAGAGTTTATGGATGTAAGAGGTTTGGATTTAAGGCGATGTAGGCGTTTAGGGATGTAGAAGCTTGAGGGCATTTAGGGACTTGGGAGGTTTTAGGGGATATGGGATTGAAGAGTCTTATGGGAATGTGAAAGTGTAAGGATGTAAGACGTGACGGATGTGGGATGGGACAAAGTGAACACCACCACAGCCCTGCACCCCATCCGTACTAGCCAAAGATGTTAATGTCATGCTGTTCTGGTGTTTGCTTGTGCCTGTTTTGTCTGAAGCCTACTTCTTTGGAACGCGGCCAAAGCAAAAAGTGTCTGGAAACAGCTTAAGACACTGCCAAGCACTGTCAGTGCTGAATAAAAGAGCACCGTTTTCCTTCTAAACTATACAATGGCCAGGCCCTATTCCTAAGGTTGTTCGTTTAAGGTTGAGCCTCGCCCTCTGAACCCTGCGACCTCCCACCTCAAAAAGCCACTGCACACCGGGCGGGCTGAGGGGCGACGCGTAGCGTTCAAAATTTCGTCTTTGAGCCTTTGGGTACACTACAGCACTTGCTCGGCCCACATAGACATACGGTATACCAGTTCAGGGTCTGAACTAGTTGCCTCGGAGCCAGTTGCTCCCTGCGCAGGTGCAGCTATGCTCCCGGAAGGTCCAGGTGCCAGCCCAGGAATTCCGGGGCTGGGGTTTGCTGTGGCCGCAGGGGCTGCGGAAGCTGCCGTGGATGCCGCCGGCTGTGTCGGGTTGATGGCTGAGCCGGCTGAGCTTTCATGTGGGTCGGCCTGCTTGGGTTCGAGTGGGGAGACGGGTACTTCGGAAGTGAGCTCCTTGAGTGGGTTTAGTGGGTTTGAAAGGGTCAGGGGTTTGAGAGGTGCTGTTGGCTCGGTGGCGACAGGTCCTAGCTGGTGCTGTGCCATGGGCTGGCCGGCCGCAGCAGCTGCCTCACTGGCAGGCCTTGGCAAAACCCAGCATCCTACATTTCGTGAGCAGTGAGCACTGTCACGCCAGATCAGATTGTTGGATGGGAAAACCGTGGAAAGGAAAAGCTAAATGAAACAAATTCAACATGATGCAAATGATGCAAAATGCCTCAAGATGCGGTAACGCCTGAACCGGTCACACTGGGTGCTCGACTCGACGCCTTCATGCAAACCAATCATTGGAATCGTTGGAGCTAAGAAGCTGTGTGGCCATGGGAAGTTCTGCAGCAGGCGGCTGTAGCTGAGAACCAGGCTCCTGCGAGAAACATTCAGCCGTGTGGACACAAACGCCGGCGCAAAGGAGAGTCTC